TCCTGTGGGTTCTGCCTTCATTCTACGTTAAATGTGGGTCATAGAGTGCAAGATTTTATTCAGTAAAAGAATGAGCAATCATAAATTTCATAAATTCATTAATTTGCCAATTTATAACAACAACATGAATTTATATAGCACCCTTCACGCGGGATAGCTTCCCAGAGCGCTTGACAGTGAACGTGAAATCTACACAGTACATACTGATCAGAAATTAGAATTCTGCATTGATGGAAATGGCAAATACACTTGGGCACCAACTCACTGTAGTTCAAACAGTAGGATCCAGGATCCGAACCTGTGCACTGTAATTGGGGAGGCACAAGAATAAGTCATACACTTCCCTAAAGGGAAGGAGAGACATTCAAGACTGCTCCCCCATTCCTTCCAGCAACCAGTATCCACACCCAAATTTCCTTTCGATTCAGAGTTAACATTTTTAAAAAAAACTTACATCTCCAAACAGGAAAGTTCCACTCTATCCAGCCAACCTGATTATAAATCTGGAATGAAGCATTGATTCCAATCTCTTGATACCAAAGCACCTTATTGGATAGGCCACACATTCTCAGGACTAAACCAATAAGTTGAGTCAGCCAGTTATTTGAATCACAAGGCACATGGATCTGCCGTTTCCAAACAAATGTTAGCATAATGTTTAGTTGAGTGCATTTGGCCCTATTGCTGTGATTTGTGATCCACACATCTGCACTCTTCAGATGAAGCAAACAGCAAATATCAAACAGCACTCCATCCAGTCCCCTCTTGCACATTATGCTGCATCGTTGCAAGTTCTGCCTCCTCTGGAGGAGAATGTACACAATAGCCCAAGAAGGATTCTTAATGACGGTTTGAAGCAGCAAACGTGTGTTGCCAATACTGGCATCAGAAGCTGAATAAGAATTGACCATGTGTTTGCCTACTCAGCTTGGCAGGATAGGAATGGTGTAGAGCATCATAATATTAAGGAAAGGAAAAACATACGGGAAGGTAAACCAAGGCAAAGCCGCTTTGTTTATAAAGACACTAACTTGGGAAAAGTAACTATGATAGATATACTTAACGATATTTTACTTTCAACGTTTACTCGTGGAGGAAAAAAAAATTTAGTCACGAAAAGCACAATTGTAAAATCTTCCAAATAAGTTTGCTGGGAATGGGATACAACTACACCAAAATGTCTTCAAAAAGCCCTTCCTACACTGAACAGCATCTTAAATGAACTGTTCACTGCTTTGCGTTGCTTAGAGAATGATGACATTTTGTTCTGAACCATTTATAAAACTCATTATTCATTTGTTTAGGCCTAGGCAATAGGGGATTTGGTGTGCCAGGAAAAAGCAAATTTAAAATCAAGACTGTAGGCAAAGTACAATTGGGTAAAAGGGGTCCGTGGTAAACAAAATTGTAACTCAGCATGGCAGCTGGCTATTAAATATTTATGCAACAAACAGTCAACTGCTACTAATCGAGGAGGTTGGCGTCATGTTTCTTGTTAAAAAGCAAACGTTTACAAATGCAATACAGGGTAAAGTAAGGAGTGTCCCACACAACAGTCAGTGCTCTCACACCTTTTAAGTCACTGAACCAGATTTACAGTTACTTTGTGGGAAGAATCCTATTCACAAGAGATGTTGGTAGATGTGGAAACACTCTGCAGTCTGGCCTGTAAACTCCAGAGAAGGCTGTGAAAATGGGAGAAGCATTACTGTCCATTTCGGGCAAAATAAGTCATTTGGCTGCCCTCTTCAGGCTGGCAAACGGATACTGCAGGGAATCAATGAAGAAAGGAAATGCATAGCAAATTATAGAAGATACCTGCTAATATGGCAAGAAAGTCAATTCAGATAGATTTTTTAAAAAAGTAAAAAGTCATTGCTTTCCAGTAGAACCGTGGCAATAAACAGATTCACAAGGCTGGCCATAAAATAAAGTTTCAATGTACTTAATTGAAATTTATATCCAATCTACAGCTTCAAGTTCATTGTAAATGAGTTACTTGTTGGGACAACCTGGGAAGCTCAGACACATGAGTTGATTTTACAATACACAGAAGATATTGAACCTCCGTCCTCTTTGTGACCCTTTCTTGCTACCAATTCCAATTTTGTATATGACATTTAGAACATTCACTCGACTATTTCAGTAATTTGGGCATTTTCACGGCCTTTTCACCGATATGTCCCCTGTGACAATAAGTAATAATCCCTCAAAAAAATAATAATTTGGTCACTCAATCCACAACTGCTGTGGAAAACTGCAACTGGCTGCCTTGTTTCGTCCACAAAATACAGTCAATCCACTTTACTACATATTCTGTGAAGTGCTTCAAGACATCTCAACGACACGATAAGGCACTGTATCAAATGCAAGGATTATTATACAATGTTTTGCTCCGAAACTACTTTACGACGCTGTGCGTTGGCTAAAATTTTATACTAATTTTATTTAATTCCAGAAAGCATTCGGTAAAGTTAGGCCGAAATGTTGAAAAAATAAAAACTGCCGGACCAAACCCCTACATGGGTGTGTTAAGATTGGGATTTCCTGCTTATCCCTCACTGGGTAGCAGAAAAACCCTAGGGGTCTGAAAGGTTTAATACAGGAATCTTACTTACAAAAATATATACGCATGCTGCTCAATTACTTTCACCCTTCCACCCACATAGGTGTGATGCAGAGTGATCAGTGATTCACTGAAGAGTTAAAATGCAGTGTGCCTGTCTGCACAGCTAATCATAAGAAAGAAAAACAGATCGAACACAAGCCAAAGGAAAAAAATATGAGACGGGCATGTCATACAAACTGTAAACTGTGAATTAAATCATAGCCATGGAACATCCAGCAATGTTCCTTTGGCACACAAATGTGAAAAACACTTCACTATAAACAGCCCATTTTATTATTCTGTGCAACACTGAAGGCCTGACATACGGAGGATGCAATGCTGAATAGCGTGCAACACATAATTCAGTTACATTCTGTGGGATCTAACTTTCGTGGTAGATTTTAGAATCAAAAGGCAGATGCTTAGAAGTATATGAAATGAACTGACATTGCAATCCCAGAGCCTGAGCAGATGCCCATGTTGTGGCAGAGAGTCAGAAATGGCGCTGCAAGAAAAGGAATGCATTGCACAACTGGCTACCACATGGGTTTCACAGTGATGGGGTTACAACAGGTTCAGGGCAATGTTCTATATGTAGGATTCAGGGTCATCTGAAGAACCCAAGCTAATCAGATAACGCAACCTTGGAAACGTTCCACCAACCGATAAATGCATTCACTAAAACTGGGCAATCAAATAGTCTTTCGATCATTCGAGTGGAATATTTCAGACCTTCGCTTTGATGATTTTCACATTATTTTATTTATAATTTTATAGAAGTTTGAAAACGTAATTTTTTTCCCCCTAGGAATACGGCAGCCAATTTGCTCACAGCAAGGTCCCACAAACTTTATTTGTCCAGTATGGTGTACACCTGTAAAAAACAACTCCCTTTTCCGCCCCCCCCCCAAAAGAAATGTTACAGTATCTTTAATGTCCACCTAAATAGGCAGTTTTAAAATCTCATCTGAAGGGCAGAACCTCCAACACTCCCTTGGAATGTTTGCAAGGTCTATACAAGTTCAAAATCCTGACAAATAATTTGGGGAACAAACATGCAATTTGTTGTTGGTGATTAATACTTTAGAAATAATAAATGAGAGTTGGTAAATGTAATTAAATTTAATAACCCTCTTCAAGCAACTTGGGAAACCGATTAAACGTCACCTTCTCAATCTACTTATTCTGCTATCAATTCTCTTGTGGACAGGTAAGGAAGACATCTACTGCAGCACCAATCCAACAGGATTTGTGCAATAATGGGAAATAATCAGAATTAAATATTTGCCATCACAAGCTGCGTCAAGGGCAACATCCAAAGTATGATTAAACAAAATAACAAGTACAAACAACCCAGCTTCTGTATTTGTTAAGTCTGCAAGCAAGACCTTGGACCAGAATCAGTTACAGTACATTTGTTTAACATTCAATCTGTTTCAAGTGACAAACTAGCAATTTATTCCACTGAATTCTATTGAATATATTTAGCAATTAAGATCTTGCATTAGTTCTCTCATCCAGCATTCAAAATATCCTATTTCTATCCTACTAACTGAATTACCAGGATATGAATTGATGACATGTCTAAATATGGACTGCAATTACATTATTCAGTAATGTTTGGAAATATGCAGTTCACAGCTCCATCTAGAGGTTACTTGGCATTTTTCAGTGGTTACTCAAAAACTGCTTAACATATCACAGCAAGCTGGAGGGTCTGTAAAACACTGGCAGTAATCGATTACGTTATCAGCTGAACAGATTAATACCATTGTCCATTTCTGTTCTGCAACCCTGTTCCTGTATCTACTGCACCTGAATTACAAAACAGCAGATGCAGATTAAGATGCCCCTCTATTAAACGATTCACAAGCCAAGCTTTATAGACCGCCAATAATTTCCCTCATTTAATAATAATAATAATAATCCTTGCATTTGATACAGCGCTTTTCACGTCTGGAGGACGTCCCAAAGCGCTTCACAGAACACACTGTAAAGTGAATTGACTGTATATTTGTGGGCGAACGCGGCAGCCAATTGCGCACAGCAATGTCCCACAAACAGTCGTAGATTGAAAATGACCAATCTATTATTGTTTTTGGCTTTGGAGGGATTATTATTAGGCGTGTGGAGTAAGGAAACTTGCCCAAGGTTTCGCCCTGACCTGCCTGGAATTGAACTCAGGTCTCTCGCTTGCAAAGCAAGTGCTCTAACCACTGAGCTACAGGACTCCACTTAGGTAAAAACACTCCACCCAAGGGTTGCGTTGTGTTGCACTGCAGCTATTCAGGGCTATGACGAAACATGCTTGCTGGAATTCAAATCTGGGCGCAACAGCGGTGTAGGCAAACCAATCAAGACTCCTGCTCTATTTAGCCGAATATGTACTGACCTGTACTTGCCCGTTCTTACTTGGACTCCCTTCATACCACACTGCTGGGCTCCACCTACATCGTTCACAAGATCATCCCCAATCATGATGGCCTGTCAGGAAAAATAATGAAATACAAGTGAAACTGATGTTAGATTAGATCCATTCGATAGGTCTGCATTTCCCAAGGTATTGGGTGTGAATTGTCACGAAGATGAATAGATCTGACATCTTAGACCGTAATCATTATACAGGATATTGGAATCCACTGGTAAATATCATACCTGGAGATATGTGGACAGATTACAAAATATTGTATCTTCTTCAAAGCAACATATTTTGTCGGAAGGGTTTCCATACTCCACTTACAATTCTCTTATTATTATTATTATTATTATTATTATATTATTATTATTATTATTATTATGCTGTTGGAATAGAAGTCAACATGGAGGAATCAAGAGTAGATTGCAAAATGAAATACACTCAAGGTCACTGGGCTTTGTAGTGTTTACTTGTTCAAGAAAGAAAATACCATGTTCCTGTGCACATTAGTTGTAAAGTCAGAGGAAAGCACAATGTATCATGATTATTTTGGGGGGAGTAACTGTAACAGATATCAAAATCTATGAACCTTGCAAAAGCCTGTCGGGGAATGTTTGTTTCTATCTATTGTATCATAGCACAGCAGGTGGTTTAGAGAAAATGATGTTCCAGAAAAATAAGAGGGGTTGGGACTCGCGTGGTCTAGTTTGGTCGAATGGTTTGTTTCCATGCCATATTACTCCATGTAAAATAAAATCATTTGCAGCTTTATATGACAGATGCCATCAAGTGGCTGTCTTTCCATTGAGCACGACCATCTGGCGTGAACCTTCCATTTACTTAGAAGCGGAGTCAAGATCTGATCGGAGACAATTGCTAACATATTTGGACACTTACTAATGAATGGCATTTGCAAGTTGCAAGTAATGACAAATTTACAAATATACTGCAATGGATAAAGTGGATGTTCCTGTTCTCCATTTAAAGATTTAGAGAAATCCTTCCTATGACCTACCCGATAAAGGAATAAGGCACACAGATTTTACATTCAGGTTATGTTGATTCAACTCATCACAGTCTGTGTGCGACCATTATCCTCTGTGCCCCGGGACTCATGCATAAAGATTAGCCACTTGGGTGAGGTACTGGAAGGTACCACACATGTATAGGCCTTTCCTCGGCAGCCTGTGAGTGTGTGTGTGAGTGTTTGTGTGTGTATGTATGTGGCATCTATATTTTCTCTTAAGATTTAACTATGCCACTTTCCTTCTGATATTTAGTTGCACTTTAAAGTAAAATCCTGTAAAGCACTTTGATGTGAATGGCACTATATCAAATACAAGGATTATTATTATTATTCACATTAATACACAGCCATATTTATCAAATGTGGGAGAAGGGGAGGAGATAAAATCTTGCATATATCCTTTTTTAAAAAAGAAAACATTCTTGCTATGTAATTTCCACAGCAGTATTTATCTGTTCAGTGATCTTTTCAATGTGGATGAAGCCATTCAGGTCAATTATTAATGACACAAATGCATTAATCCATTGACGCAAATGCCTTTAAGTAGTCAAGATTAGCTCTAATTAAATCAGACACTAGGATAGCAATTTGAATGGTTCTTTTTTAAAATATTGAATACATCATGTGAACAGCTTATTTATTTACAAGTTTAGCATGACAATTGTACATTTATAAAACTTTGTTATTCAGGCAAAAAGAGCTATTTTAGGCACATTTGAAACATAAAAAGGGTCTCATGGTGACTGTTACCATGCAATTTTCCAGGATTTGCATATTCTTTGTCCTAAATTGGCAAAATTTACAGAACAATTAGATGATGGTGGAGTTTATTTTAGAACAGTTATCAGCAGTATCTGGCAAGCGAGTATAAAAATAGCTAACTGGCCCTCAATAGCATTTTCTCAGACTGTGATAAAGATCTTACATCAGTTAAGATGTTCAAGTCCATATGTGGAAATACCAGTCTTGTTTCAAATTTCCTTTGAGAAAGGATAGCATCTATTTTGTACGAACCATCAAGTTAAAGAGCCGACCTCTTTTTGATAAAGCTACGAGCCTGCCTTGAAATTTTAGTGCTAATAAGGGTATGAATATTTGTGGAAGAGACAAATTGTGTTTATTGCACTCAACAATTTGCCAAAATTTTGCATGCACTGAAATGCTAGGAAGATAAAGTAAATCTCAATCCATTGACACTTCCTGTGGGAGTGCATGCATGAAAGAATGACGAGTACTGTGGTTCAGCAGGGGGGGTTGGGGGGGGCGGGGGACTTATCACGTCTTTCTGAGGTCTCTAAAGCGCTTCACAGAATATACTGTGAACTGAATTGACTGTATATTTTGTGGGCAATGGGGTAAGAGTGTGGGCATTGCAGCAGGCTTCCGTAATTCCACACGAGAGAGAGAGAGAGGGGTAGGGAGAAAGTGAGTGAGAGAGAAAGAGAGAGAGAGACTCCATCATTCACAGACCTAATCTCCCACCAGAAATAACCGTCTTTAGGAGGGAAGATAATGGAAGAAATAAAAAATAAACGAGACCCACACAGTTAATAATTTGTCTTGTTTTTAGGCTAAAGAGCGTGTACAAGGGCAAATAATGACCACAGAAGATTTTGCCTTAAGATGATAGCTCAACACTTTTACACATGCGGTCTTCAATGCAGCATTTCATAACACGATTTGTTAATAACAAATCGGACTTCAAACAGTGACTCTTTTGGGTAACAAAGTATGTCATGCCAACTCAAAGCTCGCTCCTACAGTTCAGCTCTGGAGCAGAGTGCCCACAGCCTAGGGTACCACGATGAGCCACTATTTACACGAAACTTGGGAGTAATCACTGACAAAGCATGTTGCAAACCACCGGCATTTAGATTCCGGTAAGTACATGTAACGCTTCAAACGGAATATTTTGGGCCAGCATTTGTAAAAACCTCACCTGACCCAGACCACCTTCATTATCTGAACGGCAATAACAGTTTAATTAATGAAAATCAGATGCTTTGCCCAATGAGTCAGCCCACAGGAAGAATGCATGCAGATGCTGCTGCTGCTTAAAATACAGCTGCACATGAGCAGTGGTGCTTGCAGTAACAGGCAGCGGCAGACGCATACAAAAATGGACTCTGCCCTCCAGGGAGTTCAGTGATTTACTATCGGTGAAGGGTAATAATCACTAAAGGCACTGCAATTATTCCCAAATCATTTAGGACTTAAAAANTCATTGGTGAGAAGATAGAGGTCGAAAGGTCTTATGTCAAGGGAAATAAAAGCTGCGGTCATCAACTGTAGAGTATAAAATACTTTTTTTTTAGGCTGATAGAGAATGTAGGAATATGGGGAGGGGGAAAAAACCATCTGACAGGCAGTGTGACTAGCCTATAATATGGTCGTAAATGGGAAAAGTAAACAGCAGCGTCTTGATTAATAGGGAACCAGAATCGGTCGCTAAAGGAATTAAGAATTAATGTTCTGTGGCTTGTCTCTCGGATGTCAGAAATAAACTTAACAGTGCTTCCAGCGATTTAATTTCAGATGGGTGAGAAGCGGGAGTGAAAAAGGAGGGAGAGAGAAACTAATCCAATAGAAACAACAATCAAGGCCTTGAATGCAGCAAATGCGTTTAAAACCTAAACTTGCACAATGGGTTGCTATTAATCTTCCGTGGAAATAACTATTTTAAACTCAAAGTACATTTCTGTTTTGTAGATTACCGATAGCAAGGGCTTCTTTTGAGAGAGAGAACAATTCACAACTCATGTCCGTTGCACGCATGAGCTCGTTATGACAATATTTTGCACTCAGGAAAGAACACCTAGGTCAACAATTAAATATTTGGCTTATTCTACTCGTGGGTGTCTCCTGGGAGACTTTCAATTACTTCAAAATCATTTCTCAAAGACTGCTAGAACATTAAGTGATAATTTCCACATGCGATTTGTTTACAGACGTGCTGAGAACAGCAACTCGACAGCAGGTACTGCTGCCCAATATTCTACTCCAGAAACAAACTGAAGACATTATGCTAGGAACTGTGCACACACCAATTTCTAAAATTGCAAGAGAATAGAGTAATTATTTACAGAAATAAGCTTGCTGCTTTCTTGTTTAAAAACTCTACTGACTTCCTATTACTTATTTTCTTAAAAGCACACTCCTGGCTAATACTGTACTTGTAGATCAGAGAACATAGACAATGGTACACTTGTAAAGGAGAGACAACATCAGATGTGCCAAAAGGCTTTTTTCATTTAAACATTTGTCAAATCACAAAAACAAGGCACACCCTGTAAGAAACAATTTTATTTGAATGTAGATAGATAAGGGCATGAGAATTATTTTGAAAGAATATTTGTGTATTTTTTTTAAACCCCAAATGTATCCAATGAGGTAGAAGCTTTGTTGTAGGTGCCCATTTGAGAGAATGAAAGGAAGGATACTCCAGTATAAGGTGTGTAAAATGCTGGGGTGAGTTGTAATGAGACAGATTTTGTTTATATTTCACATCACTTACAAACTTGCTTTGATTTACTACTTGTAATCAAACGCCAAGCTTCCGATGAGATGTTAAACTGAGGTCCCATCTGTCTGAAACACTGACTGTCCAGCGCCTTGGGACGTCCTCCCAACGTGAAAGGCACCATACAAATGTAATATTTGTTTGTGTTCAGGTGGACATTAAAGATCCAGTGGCACTATTCGAAAACAGAAGGGAGTTTCTCCCTGTGGCCCAGCCAATAATCCCCCAAATAAAAAAAATTGGTCATTTGTTTCATGGCTGTTTGTGGGACATTACTGTGCGCAATTGTCCTGCCGTGTTTGCCCACAAATACAGTCATTCCATTTCACAGTAAATCCTGTGATACGCTTTGAGACGTTCTTCCAATGACTATACCAAATGAAATGATTATTTATTATTATAACCTCAAAAATGAAGGAGAAACTCAGACAAGTTCTTAATATCCATCAGAAAAGCTCGAAAAGGTGCCAGATCAGAGTAGTTCTAATCAGGACTCAAGCCGGCAGTAGAAATGTCCTGTTCATTCCTCTCTGAGCACACTGTTGACTGGACATCAATAATCCTAGTCGTTCTATACTAACCAAGAAAATATCGCACCTCAGATACTCAAGGGACTCTCTGAATCAAAATGAAAAATGCCCTGTATTTAGGAGCAAGAAACGAAAGCTTCAGGAACAGTTTAACTAGCAAGAGGTCACCTGTCGGCAACAGAGGCATGATTCTGTCCTGGCAAAGTCGGACTGGTACACTGGTCTAGCACATGCACTGTGTTTCGGCCTGACGGAATTTCCAGTGGTCTAATAGCAAATTCAATTGATTAATTTCCTTCCACTTGTGTCATTTTTACCAAAACTAACAAATTCTCCAAGACCAAGTCTCATCATTCCATAGCATTCACCCTCTTCCCAACCAATTATTTTTTAAATCGTCTCACAACACATTGAGTCTTCTCATGAAGCATTCCCCATGTAACCAATGTAACCGGTTTCCCCAAACTGCTTATTTGTGGTTTTGCTAAATTAACAATCAGTTACCAATTGTAACTATTTTCACCCTCGAAAGCTACATCAGAGGAGACTGTTCTCCTATGTCTTGGAACAAGACTCAAAAATAAAACCACCGAGTATTCCATGAGCATTCTAGGAGAAATTTGATACTTTGAACTTAAGACTATAAACAAGAAATATTGATCACAAGGCACACAAGGCCCAACATGCTATGATCCAGGTTCAATCCTTCATGGATCCTTACAAGCTCCAGGTTGTAAGCTTCTGATCTTAGTTGTTCTGCTGTTGGAAGCCATCTCCCCGTGGGGGTGGGGGAAGGGAGGAGAAAACGAGTGAGAGAGAAAAAGAGAGCGCGCGTGCAAGTAAAGTAGCACAAAACAAAGAAAAAAAAGACAAGCACACGCATCATTTTTATGCCTCCAGCATACAAAACATCCAGTCCAAAGAATTATCGCCCAAAAGTCATTTCACAGGTAATAATCTTGACTCAGTTATTAGGAGCGCAACAACATGCAAGCACTAGTGAAAAGCTCTGCTTCACAACACCTCTTAAGAGTTAATGACTACACATTATCCCCAATCCACAGAGAAGAGACTGAAATGAAAAATGAGCTTTGGAGAGTTCCATTTTACACTGTGTGCAAAAATAAGGCAGCCTTCACAAAGGGCATAATTAGAACAACCCATTGAAAGGCACTTATCAGGAAAGATGCTTCATGGCTTTATTGATTGAAGCAGATTGTAAAGAAGTACAAGATTTTTCTTTCCATTCATGAAAGCAAATTGAAATTATAAAAATGGAATACCGTTAAAAAAATGTTTCAGCAAAAACAAAATTCATAGGAGAATGCATTGAAATGGACTTTGAAATGCTGTTAGCAATCTGTGTTAGCAACAACATTTAAGAGTGATTTTAATGCAATATTTGTGCTGAGTTAAACAAAGTTCATTCATGTTCAAATGCAAGTAGACCGAAATGAGGATTTTAATCCACCCAACAATTCAGCAGTAGCCTTGTCCCACTATTAAAGTTGTCAATGCACTTTCAGGCATTCCTGTTCTGTGCATAAAAGTCGATGTAGAAGGTAGAAAATGTCAGAATGGGAAAATGTATAAGAAAGTTTACGTGATATCACCAGCCTTCCTCCCACATGGAATATGTTTAGACTATTGCCAGTCTTCAGACTTAGCTTTGCTGAATTCTTTAAAGTTGTACAGAGAATTCCCCTCCATCATCTGATTCAGTGATGACCATTCTGTACTGAGCTAACAGCTTGGAGAGACAAGTGACATTTACCTCTTTCCAAAGAAAGAACACAACTCAACTTGTGTTTCCCCCTGGATGATTTGGCTGAGGTTCGTAATTCTAAAGACAAAAGCTCACATAATTCTGCACCAATCTGGAATGCACTGCCTGAAAGGGTGGTGGAAGCAGATTCAAAAATAATTTTCAAAAGGGAATTGGATATTTACCAGAAAAGAAAACATTTGCAAGGCTATAGGGAAAGAGCAGGGGAGTGGGATTAATTGGGCAGCTCCTTCAAAGAGCTGGCACAGGCACGATGGGCCAAATGGCCTCCTTCTGTGCTGTAGAATTCTATGATTATGATTGTAATCATTGTGTCAAATTTGCGATTTTTGTAAATTGGATTTCTTGCAATAATTAAGGTTTCTGATAGTTTTGCAAATATCGATGAACCCCAGTTTGACAGTGACGGAATAAAAGCCAGCGAGCTACACCACACCAGGAAGAATGAATGATCGTGCTTCCTTTTACTGAAAGGAATCATGACTCGCAAGTGGAATTGTTCTTAAGGAACTCTGTTCGAAATTCTGGTCGCCAGTATTTCAGTATTAATGGCGGGTATTAAAGTTCAATCCTTACCTGATGTGGCTCCAATCCCATGGATGTTAACGCGGATAAGAAAAATGCATTTGCAGGCTTTCCCACAACCTCAGCTTGAATATCACAGGCGTACTGGGGGAAAAAGAATTCAAAAAATCTGAATGGATCAGTGCTAAAAACCTAATGCACAAACACCATTTTTTTTAAAAAAAGAGATAACCTTTCTGAAACAGTGCTGGCTGCAGAGAGTGGATTTACATTACAGATAAACTAGAACTATTTGTAAAGCAACGGAGGCAACTAACAAGGTTGTGGATTATTTAAGTGATCCATCTGTCAAGTGTGCATCAGGCAATAAATGGCTGATGTTCTGATTAAATGCCAAGGCCACAGACCATTTATTACTAAAGATGTAATATCTGATGCAATTTTTCATACGGATTTCTTCTTCCCCCTCCAATCCTCCCCATCACTACCTCAATGAAAGCAGATACGATTGCTAATGATGGCTAAATGGTCTACACTAAAGAAGCTTGTGTGATTCAGACGCAGGTTAGCGTTCCATCACATAATACTTCCAGCTGAAGTCGAAAGCAAGTCCTGTATAAAAGGCAAGCTCCTCTCCAACCTTGTCTTAGTTTTTATTTCACAACACTGAGCCAGATATAACCATGCACACTCATGCTTTATCATTACCTCGGTTTACAGCTTCAAGATAGAAATATACAGTCAATTCACTTCATAGGATATCCTGTGAAGTGCTTTGAGACGTCTCGAAGACACAATAGGGCGCTATATCAAATGCAAGGATTATTATTATTATTATTATTATTAAGAGCCCCGAGTTCACTTTTTGAAGTGTGACACTGTCAGGCAGGCTATTATTTTTTTTAAAATGAAACATCAATCTTTTGAACATGACAAGGAGTTGGTTCAACTAACAGCTGGTGAGAGAGAATATCATCAGCTCTCAAAAACCCAGAGCTGGAGATGATTGACACACCTCAGCTGTCACATTAAGAGCTGAATAAATTGCAGTGTTTTGTATTTTTTTTAAAAATTACATTAAAAGTAAATGACAGAAAATGTCACCATTAAGCCAACCAGTAAAGGGAACAATTTATAAAAAAAAGTCTTTAGTTTACAAAAGGTTAGCAACAAAATAAAATTCTTAAAGCTTTTGTGAATAACGTAAATTCATGTAACTCATGAATTTTCTTCAGTTATTACTTTGGGAATAAAATCCTCACCTCACAACTTTAAATCCCAAAATGGCTACAACATTCAAATGGTTTTGCTTTGATAGGCCCTGTATGCTTCAAATTCATCTTATATTGTACTTGTTGTACACCACAACACTCTGAGACATCCTGCCGACATGAAAGGCATTATATCAAATGCAAGGATTATTATTTATTATTACAGCAAAAACTTTAATTTCCAGTACCTCCAAGGCCTTCATATAAACACCAACATCAATCTTCAGCCCGTCAGTTTCTTTGTAATAGCGCCTAGAACATAGAAAGGTGAACATGATTAAAAACATACAGTAACCCTTCCTTACAGAAACCATAGCTACAAAAAAAAACTCAGATAATATCTAGCGTGTTATACAGAGAGCATTTTATATAGCTTCTCCATTTATGAGGAAAAACTGTGAATACACAATCCAACAGAGGCATTATTAGTTCAAGAGAGAAGCTACTTTAGGCAACAGAAACATTTCTAGAAGTTTTATTTTTCACATTTAGAAACTTTGTACGTGTGATGGAAGAGGCTGAAAAGTATCAAGAGACAGAACGGAGAATTTCTACCTGAGAAACTATTCTGCATACAGATCCAGCAATTTCTTTTGTTGGTACAATTCTGCAAAAGGGAATAAATTATACCCTAATGAAGTATTACCATAGGCTCCACATGACCCATTTCAGATTTGGGGTTAGACTGGATTAATTTATATTGTTTTTTCCATAGAAATGTAATTCATCTCCTCTGAAGCAGATAATGTCAGCGGAGTGACAGAATTTGCAGCAAATTATTTTTTTTCCTCCCTCAATTCTATTTCCGTTGGGTGTCAGATGGACTGCATTAAGATCTGACAGCAAATGAGAAATGTGCAACATGGTTGGACATGGTTTTATGGCTTATCGTGCTGCCATTTTCGATTATACACCAAAGGCTCCCTTTCAAATGACCACTTGACCTCTGCTTGAGCAACCATTAACCTTCCATAGGCTAGCGTAAACAAGGTTCATTTCCTGACAGTGGCGTGACAGGAAAAATTACACAGCCAATTCCATATCCCATCTAAAATAGATGCTGAATGTAAATCAATATATTTACAGGTATTCTCCTGGAAGTGATTCAGTCATGCTGGCCTAACTTTTTTAAACTTATCATTTTCTGAATGAAGTGTGGATCTGCCTTGCCAATTTTGACTTCATTTCCGAGTCATTTTTCATTTCCATCAACCTAGATGTATGCCACTGAATCAATGGGAGTTCACATGATTCTGAGCTGCTATCCTTCCCTACTTTCTCTGTCTTTAAGAGGGATGATTTTGTAAGTTTCTACTGTGGTTCAAACACTTGAATACAAAGTTGATGCACTTTGTACAGGATCTTTTCAATTCAGCATTTTTTCCAACCATCGTGGGAATTAGATTTTCTTTTGTATTGTAATGTTAAACTGATGACGTTTTTCCTCCCTTACCTTTCTGTATTCACAATTTTCCCTACTGGGAAGAACTATAGCCATTGCGATTTCTTCAGAGAAAACTACTCTGCCATACAGATCAGAGATATTCCAAGTTCCTGGTCTGTGCAGTGTTAGCAAGTTGTGGAATTCACTCTTCATTTTGATGTTTTCATAAAGGTTCTTAAAAGAAACGTACAGAAAACAAACTTCAAAATGAAGGCTGCATTTAAGAATTTGTCAGATCCTGGCATTCTGAAATACTATGTAAATAGAGTAAAGCTAGACCAAGTTGGAATTTCTACCCAATGGCATCTAATTTGTGGAATTTCTGAGATTTTTTTTAAATATAAGAAACTTGCAAATTATCAAATTTCTAAAATGTAAAAAAAAATTGGTTTATCAAACTTTAAGAAATATTGCAAATTAGATCTCCATATAAATGTATGCAGCTTTGGGACACTTTAAGAACAGGTATGTGATGCAAAGTCAGGATGTGATGCAAGAAAGAGATTATTACAACTTGTATTCTCACTCTTATCCTTAATGGCTTGTGATCCTTGCCAAAAGTTCTGTTAGTTTCTCACTGAATTACACCTGATTAACTTGGACGGATTAAATTTTCTCCAATGATGCAATGTAAAAATGAATTATCCGGGACAGGTGAAAGAGGCTTTAGGGAATTCTTATTTTAGGGAGAAGTAAACCTTCTTACCCTCTCCCAAGTGAGAACAGGAGAGGTTTTTCCAGTTGCATCAGAAGCTGAAACGCCCTGTTCATGTTTTCGTAGGAAAAGTTTTCTGCAGCATCTCCGATTATTACACAGTTCGGGTTTGATTGATCAATCTGGTCAAACTCTGGTAGAAGACCTGAAGTTAAAAAAAAATCAGTAAATAAATAATCCTCGCATTTGATATGGCACCTTTCATGTCAGGAGGATGCCTCAAAGCGCTTTACAAGATATACTGTAAAATGTAGCGACTGTGTACTTTCTAGGAAAACTGTGGATTCCTAAAAAGATGGGGTCACGTTTCAACAATAAAATGCAATACCATCAACTTAACATCTCACTTACTGATGCACATTTCGATATCTTGAATCCGTTTTCACATACAGTGCCACGGGCATCGATGATTTACTTGCTATGACATATACTGTTGGTGCTGCATATTACGGGATCCATCGAAAACCATGCATTAACATGTGTACAGATGGATCTACAAGAGTCTTTATTTAATCCTGTTTGAGGGGGCTGGTAAATACACAATCAGGGCACCTGTATTTCTCTCCGTATCCATGAATTCACAGATAGTGTTTCATACAGACTGTTTGCACCTTATTTGTAAAAATCTGGCAATTATTTATTAATTCCCCTAAAGAATAAAACATAAAGCATGAAACAAGAGAAGACTATACATCTCATGGAGTCCAGGACTTCCTCAAACTCAGAATACCATGCAATTCACCCCTCCCACTGGGCAGATAGTCCCCAAATAACACATTGATGGATTTAGTGTCAATAAATGAAGTGCTTATAACAAAATATAAATGCCGCACAAGAGCGAAAGAATGTCTCGGCCACTAACCATCATGTACAAGAAGGTGTGGTCTGAGTCCTCGCTCCTTTAAAATTCGACAGGCTGCTGGGGCAGGAGCAATAACTTCACCAACAGCTATGTCAAACCCCATGGTCTGCAACTTCGCCACAAATTTCTCCCGGGTGGCCTGCGTTTCATTGGTACAGAATCGCAACTTCAAGCCAGACTCCTTGATCCTTGTGGCAGAAAACAAATCAGCAAGTTAGCTTCAATGTGGGCCACAGACACACTGTATTTTCATTGAAGTCACAACACGCAAGGTTTCTCGCAGACCTGAGAAACTAGAGTTTCTGATCCAGGAAAATCGTGGCAACAACAGCTTGCATTTATACAGCGACCTTCACATAGGATAACGTTTCAGTAGCAATCACAAAAAGACATTAAAGTTTCAGTAGCACTCGATTCTTAGATAGAAATCTGGAAAAATCACCAGCTTCTTATCACAAGCAAAGTTAATTGCGCTTTTTCCTTTCAAATACGAATCAAGATTTCACAAAAAACTTGTTTTTTTAAAAAAAATCTCAGAATGTGATGCCTTATTTTATGCAGGAATGCTTGAATTTGAATTATCTTTGCCATTTCCTCCATTTTACTTATCTGTTCGGTCAGTGTTCAATAATTGAATGATGCACCCATGTACTTTCACCTCAGTCCAATGCAATTATTTAATTACAACAGAATTAGTCTTAATCAATAAACCAAAAAGAACGTGCAGCCCTTCAGTAACCGCCAAGCACTGGGAAGAATGATCTCACGTGAACAGCAAAATTGAAAATGTACGGCATTAGCAACAGAACTACTAGGGAAGTTTCTTTGTGAAAGTCTAGGAACATGAGCCATTCAATCCTGGAAGGTTTCCAGTTCATTCAACTGTGCAGTGTTAGCATCTCTCACACACGTGGCTCTGCAATTGGTCTCACTGTCCTGGGCTAGGGGAGCGGAAATAAAAACAAGCAGGGTTTTTGCACTTGACTGCAATCTAGAGAGTCCAAATTGAGAGACTGCGAGTGTTAAACAAATGCTGCTGTATTACTTCCTTGGCAATAAGAATAACACAATAATAGGTACATACGTGAGATACTGAAGGACAATAGATACCTGTGGAAATGCACTCCAGCACAAATCAGCTCCTTCAGGAGAGGAAGGGATAAAGGTGTTAAACAAACTCATTAAATATATATAATACAGTAGGGAACAGAGTAACTCAGTCTGAATTTTTAAGATGGGGGAAAAAAAATGCCTGAGTGGACAGGTCTTTCATAATGAGAGCAACAATCAAGTTCTTTAGCACTATTTATCTTAGCTAATTACAGTTAGTGTGAATTATCAATTACAGTTAAAGGTAATTGCCCTTCATACAGAAAGCTTTCTTAGTTCACTCAGCACCATTAATATAATGCTACAATTAACGGTCAAATTTACATTACAAATATATCTCCATTGTTCTGAATTGTGAAGTAATTTCATTTTTCTCAGGAAGGCCTCTCATAATTTACTGATGTAATTGACTGAATAACTAGAGAACGTATCATGGGACTAATCAGCGATAATGAATTATAATTTGACCTTGTAAGGGTAATGGACAACACATGCTACCTTTGGATAACTACAGATGACATCTGCTTCTCAACTTTCATTTTAAATAAGTTTTTGTTTGTATGCGAGTCACACAGAACGTTGATTTCAATGACGTGTAGAATTCGGAGGATTGGGGACTGAATCATTTTCCAGTAATCAAACAAAAGTCACTGGTCACAAGCTAAACTGGAGATCATGTTAAGCGGTGTGAAGTTTGAATGAAATTTACATGTACAACTTATTCAGCATTGCGCCAACTTGTAAAATGTGCACCAACCCGTGTGTTTGGTATAAACATTGTTGAAAGAGAAATGGGTGCATTGCTCTTGAAAAAAAACGTGGAATTGTCGACGGTCTCATTCCTCAGTAATGTCTAGTCACACAAGGTAAATCTGGGTTTGTATCCAAAAATGGCAGGAGAGTTCAAAAACATGATCTGTTTATGCAGATAATTTGCAAAACCTACGCTCAACATGTGGCACATTTCTCAATGGAAGAGAATTTGACCAGGAAAGGCCTCAAATTGTGAAGCCCATGGGCATCTGGCTTCACAGAAAGCTCTGGCACCCCAGGAAATATCAGGCAGGCGAGGCAGTCAGTGACCAGTGTAGTGACCAAAACTCGTTGACGAGGATTCCAGTTGGTAGGCGAGTGGTGATCGCTTTCACACAGAATGATCTTTTTTAAAAGGCTGAGTGTACTGCAGCGGGCTGACTTTTCAACACACCATCCTACACTGCAGTACGGTCTGCGAGTGCATTGCTGCTCACCCACCTTCTCCTCTCTCTGTCTCTCACCAAACCCCCCACCAGCCACCCTCGGCCAGCGGGAGTGAGAGCAAATGATACTCCTCACCACCCGTCTGCATTACGAAATGTTGGGCAAATTTCCTTACTCCACACGCCTCTGTTTACCTAGCAGTAAGTAGGAACCAGGTTGTTAGTCAATTGGCGGATCACTTTTCCTGGGGTAATAAACCCTTCAAAAAAGTAATAATTTGCTCACTTCAATCCACGACTATTCGTGGGACACGCTGTGCGCAATTGGCTGCCACCTTTGGCCCACAAAGTATACAGTCAATCCACTTTACAGTATATTCTGTGAAGGGCTTTGAGACGTCTCAAAGACATGAATAGGCGCTATATCAAATGCAAGGATTACTATTACTGCCCCACTCCAGGCCTCCCTACGCAGCATCATCTATTCACGAGGCAGATTGAAATGTAGGGCTGTCAGAGGAGTTAACGTCTGTTGAAGATCTGTACTTCAGTCACTACAAGGCTGTACTGCACTGACCTTTACCTCGCCCTGACAGGTCAATATTCTGATGGTGTCCCACAGTGCAATTACAGGGCATCTGATGTGCAACTCCTTACAAATCACCCAGAATTCTACACATCTGTTGGCTGTCAGCATCTGCCAGGCTCGCTCATGTGCAAATAATGAAAAGCATTTGTTACTGCCCAGAACAGGTAAGCGTTATGACAATTACTGTACATCCCCACTGACCTTGTGTAAATCTAAATTCCATGATCCCTTTAAACCTTGTGTATGTGGGCGGAGCGCGTCATCGAAATCAGTGAATGAGTTTTTCTGTGGACAAATTGATCGTCAGGTGCGAGCTTGGACGATAGATGAATGATGCGCAGCGTCGCTAGATTTGCAAGTGTCCTCCGAGTACAACGTGTAAGGCAGCAGCTGTGGATTCTGAAATTTAGAATTAAGAAATGTCCCTTTAAGCTGGTGCTTGACAAACCCTAACGGATAAATTTCAGCACCACTCGCTGTTATGCGGTGAAATATCTCGATTTAGGGTGACTGAAATTCCATCACTGTCCTGGGTTAAGATATACTCTATTTCAGTAGCATTTTAGATTGTCCAGAATTTGGGCAATTATAAAGCTCTGCGAGACACAGTTCAAGTTGTGGTGGGTTGATGTCTGGATCATGATCGCAGATATCACCGTCAACATCCTTGACCTTTAGATTCTGGGTTCAAATCCAGACAAACTGATGGCATGAAAACTCTCCTCTGTTGCAACCTCGCATCAATTCCTAAAGGGCACTTTCCCCAAAATACAGAACTGCCCTAAAGTGGCACTAAATTCACAATATCACACAGGAAACTGAGGGCTCAATGCCACACTGGGGCAGCAGGGGTGCACTTGCAAGATACAGGATTAAGCCCAATGGTATTTGGGGAGAAATTCCTCACCCCTGTCCTAGATATACTCTATTTCAGTAGCATTTTAGAATGTCCAGAATTTGGGCCAAGACAGCCTTAATTTTAAGCCAGTTTTACCGCCCCTTCTATTAAGATCTGCAGAAAACAGACTTCAAAGTGAAAACTGAATTCAACAATTTGGTAAATTCTGGCCACTCTGGAACTTCACATTGGAGCTAACTGTTTCATCAGAAGCACACAGTGGTGACACTGCACTTGAAATAGGTAAAAGCCCTCTCAATTTCTATTGCTGAAGCCCCTCATTTAATGAGCAAAGAAAAATCTCAAAAGCCATTCCATTGCCACAGTTTTATGCACCACAAATGCGACTAGAAACAGAAAGCCATCTGTTCCTTTAATAGGTTTTAAGTGCGGTACATTATATATCTATTCTAGCTTCTCTCGGTTCTATTCTAATAGAATCATGATATCAATACACATGGAAAATAGTCACTGCAATTTCCATAGGAGAACATGACAGAGGAACCATATGGTAGCCCAAGCATCCAACTTCAACCTACATTATGTATTGCTCAGCTCATAAGCTTGGCCAGGAAACCAAGAGAAACTCTCTTCTCTCTTTAAATAGTGGCATGGAATCTTTAAAGTTCACCAGCACAGGCAGACAGGAACTCAGTTTAACATCTCACCTCCAACAACACAGTGCTTCCCCCAGCTTGAACTGACAACCTTCTGGCTCAAAGGCCTATGCAGCACCATTACCAATTCAATATCCTTTCTATTTTCAAATCAGTAGCATTTTGCACACACTAGTTTTGACAACATCTGGGTGTGGGGTGTGGTGAGGGTGAGGGTGGGGGTGGGGGGGTGGTCCATCTCCCTCTGAGGTTCGTTGTAAAGTTTGCAGCCAGGCAAAGACGTAACATAACAACCACCGTTATCCAAAGGTTCATTTATCCAAAGGGCAATGTAGTAGTAAAATACATTTCTAACAATCAGATAGATCAGGTTGATTGAGGCAGAATTTCACCATTAGCTGAAGAATAAATGAGATGTCGAAGCATGACTAATGAACAGTCTTGTGCTTAATTAAATAAAGTAATTGAATTTCTACAACCCCTGTGTCATGTGGAAGGAGCAGCCTTCACCATACTTACTGGCATATTCACCATCCTCAAGTCAGTGTCAGATGAAAGTGGTTTCTGATCCCAATCGATAGGGAGTATATCACAAGCCAACAGGAGAATGTGTTGCTGGAAGGGCAACAAACAGGACAGAGCCCCTTGAGTCGCTTACTGCCATACTTTCATCTGGCTCCCGTCACCAGATCTACAGACAAGGTTTTAAGGAGGTGCCATGTCCTCAATGCAAGGGCATAAGTAATTATCGTCAAGCGTTTTTTTTTCTGTAGGCAAAAACATGACCAATTGCACCATCAAAGTCCCAAACAATGATTAGATTGTTCTGGTGTCCTGGCCAACAACTCTGTAGATCGATTGATCTACAGGATTATTGGCCAGGACACCAGAAGAAACTTCCTTCTCCTTTCGAACTGTGTCATAGAATATTAAAAGCAGAGGCAAGAGCTGCACTGTTGCTTCCAGGTCCATTCACAAAATTCTGCAGCCTGTCCAAAGCAAACATATTCTGGCACCTCCAAACGACGCATGAATAATCATAGAAATTATACAGCACAGAAGGAGGCCATTTGGCCCATCGTGTTTATGCTGGCTCTCTGAAAGAGCGATCCATTCAGATCCCTTCTCCTGGGATGTCCTTCTAATGTGAAAAGTGGTATACCAAGGCAAGAGGTTATTTATTTAACACAGCTACCATTGACACAGACACAGAGTACAAAAGTAGCCATCAGCACTCTGCTTCAATCAGAATACTCAATCCCAATAAACTGACAGTTTTAAGATAGCATCAGTTTATGCTAATGCAATAATTTGACTTTATTTCCGAGGTTTCCTATAGTCTGCTAATTTCCCTTTCCTCCTCCCAATTTGATGTTAACTGTCGCAACCATTGCAAGGTATAATGCCTCCAAATAGTTTTCATTTTAATATCGAGTTTTAGAGCACAATAGAGCATTGTGCTGTAATTAATTCTTCTGTGCCATGTATAATTTAGCACAGAGACTGTAAACAAAGTCTTTGTTGTATCCAGTATTTGAGTGCTTATTTACATAGAAGTTTGAATTTACAATGTATTTTACCTTCGATACTCCTGCAAAAATCTGAAATCAACCAAATGGTAACAAGTACAGGATTATTCTTCGAACATGTCCTGATAAAGACATTGAATGCAAATACAATTTGGATCCCTTTGCCTCAAAATTAACATAAACGTATTGGTTACGTGTTAAAAAAAAGAGTAAATTTTCTCTGCGGTCACAGTTTAAGAAACAGTGACCTTAAGAGTGCGATTACAATTTGGTTTAAAAGCACATCATGCTTGAGTTACTATTTGTGGTGACAAGTGTGTTGAAGCACCAGGGGGCTTCAAAGGGTTAATTGATTCTAACCACTGAATAAGGATTTGCTGTTGTCTTTTGTGGTTCTCAGTCAGTAGTCAGTGCTTTTCCATTTGAGTCTTTTAACTTTTGATGGAATTGAATATCCCACCTACAAGGACGTTAAGCCAATTTATTATTTCCGCTGCCAAATACACATTAACTCTCCTGTATATCCTAATCGGACATCTGGCAAAAGAGAAATATTAACCCTGAAGAATACAAAGGTTTGAAGGAGCACCTGCTCACTCATGCAGATGGTGAAATACATTAGCTCTCAAAGTCCCCAGTTCAGTTAGATTTGCTATCTGCACAGATACTATAAGAAATAAAGGGGACAAGTATTAAAAAGGTGCAATTAAAGTTAAAGTTGTTGCAAGTAAACAGATCTGAAAGGCTAAAAGGCAACGCCTGCCCAGGATAGTTTATTTAACCTCTGCGGAGAGATTGATTTATTTTATTGATTATATATTAGGTGAGATTTAGCAGTTGTTGATGGAGGATATTTTGAATGATCGTCAATATCTATTGAACAGAGTGTTGTCTGTGCAGCTTTCCTTATTTGTACCCAATGAAAATTTCTTCAGTTAACTATGAAAAGCAAAGTTAAAACAGAGAGAATAGAGTGGAAAAGCATGCGAGCCAGGCAGAAAATGGAAATAAAAAGTGATGATTAATTATCTGCAGCATTATACACATACAGTATTTTCAAAAGACAAATACAATTATAATGTACTTAGTGAATTCAGACCAACAATCTGTGAAAGGAAATAGCTCATTATAATCCTTGCATTTTTTTTAATCCTTGCATTTTTGATATAGCGCTTTTCATGTCTTCTAGACGCCTCAAAGCGCTTCACAGAGTATACTGTAAAGTGAGTTGACTGTATATTTGTGGGTGAAACGCGGCAGCCAATTGCGCACAACAGTGTCCCACAAACAGTTGTGGATTGAAGTGAGCAGTTTTATTGCTTTTTTTTCTTGAGGCATTATTATTAGGCGTGTAGAGTAAGGAAACTTGCCCAAGGTTTCGCCCTGTTGGCAATCGAATCCATGTCTCTTGCTTGCAAGGCGAGTGCTCCAACCACTGAGCTACAGGACTCCCACATTATAGGTCCTGTACACTCCCATTTCTTAGGGATAAGTTAATCTTTCTGATTACATTATATACAGTACTAAGTTGACTTAAAACTGATGCTGAATGGAAACAGTGTGGTTTTCACCTCAGGCAAACAGGTTTGAATCTAGTGCCGACTGACATGATATGTTTGTCAGCTGCAAAAAGCACTAAGGGATCCGAGATCCAGAAAACAGAACTAACCATCAAGCAAAAAGAATAGCCAATGTGTAAAATTAAAATATAATATTCCTACTGGTGAATTGAGGCAGAGGTTAACAGATGATTTAGAACAGGGATACTTCACTTTATATCCACAATGCTGTACTTTACCTGGACATGCAGACATATTGTGGAAACAATAAATGCCCACATTAGTGTTTCATTCTCTAGCATTGAAATCTCTACCTTAAATTGCATAAAAGTATGGTGCTAAAGCTACATTAATATTGCACTGACTTCACCTTGTCATTACTGCAAACAATTTTATCAGGATTTATAAAAAGACATTTATTACAGTGAATAAAGTTGCTGTGCAACAGAAATGCTGCAGGAAGTTTATCAGCATTATTGAATGCCTGGAATGGGTTATTTCATTAACCAGCTGGTGCACTGAGGTTATATGCAGGTGGAATGTATTGACCGATTCCCCAGTTTTCACAGCTTGGAAGAATTGAGGCCTTTGAGCAGGTAGTGCATGCATTTTGCACTATATTTTGACGCTGACGCATATAACTTTTAAAATAAGAAAAACAATAGATAGACATTTTTAACATTACTTTTACACAACTACTTCCACTAGAAGGTTCCATCTGGACTGAAGATTTCTCCTTCAGGTCATACAGTTCAGGTAGTAAAGTTTCTGTTTAAAGAGAACAGCTGCTGTTAGGGATATACTCATGTGTGCTTTATAATTCAGTGATTTCCCCTACTCAAACAAGCGTAAGTGCAAGTCCCAAGCGATTCAAATGAGGATTGTCTAATCAAGTCGTGTAATGGTTACTGGTGAAGTCTCAGAATGGTCCATTTTGTAATAATTTTAAACTTGCAATCCATAAATAAAACCAAGCTAAGTTTACACGTTACCAGTTTAAGACACTGTAGTGAGCACTTGTGGACTGGAGATGGTTTGGAGTCATGTAGGTTTGGGGTCAGCTTGGGTTGAGCCCAAACCCAAAGAAATTTGCTCATCTTTTCTTACCCGAGCTTCAAACTTTGCAGATAATTAACAAATGCGGGGCTCCCTACTGGCAGATTGCTTTATGAGTTTATTTTTGTGTAAGCAACAAGCCCCTTGCTGATTTTCCTGTGATCTCGACACTATAATGCTCTGCAGGGTTTTGTCTGGACACACAGTGGCCAGCTGCTCCTACTGCCTCCTTGTGTATGGCCTTTGCTGGTCTTTTGTTAATATCCCATGTTCCTTGTTTAAAGTTCTGCTAACAGATGTACTATACCGAAGCAACAGGATGTTGTAAAACACCAGCCAGTCTTTGCTTTTCATATGGAATCAATCTCAATGGGCAGGCCATCAGGATACAAATGTAAAATACTAGTAAACTGCGCTGGCACTGAATAGGGATTTCAGATTCCTACCTTTCACAAAGGAAGGAATCACTGCAACTGCATCCTGCTGTTAAGAGAAAATAAATCCTACCAGCAGCCAAACTCAAGTTGGTACAACCATGACTTACTCTACATCACTAGGTTTACATGACCACTATACAATATAATATGTGCAAGACATAACGTTACCCTATTCCCTTTAAAATGGTTCATGAATGTTAAACAGAGGCTAGTATAGAGATATTTTGGGAAAAAAACACAAAGGTTAAGTTATTTATATATACACCAGTAATTTGCATGATACAAAAGAGTGAATTAAACCACTGAATAATGAAAATCTTTACATTTCGAGTTACCTTTTACTGCATTCACGTAAATCATGTAAAAGGTTATGTTGTCTCCAAATATAGTTCCTAATTAGTTGCTATCTCAGATGGTACTGTATTATGCGAATAACCTTTGAAATAATAATACTTACATTTGATATAATGTCTTTCACATAAAGAGGAAGTTTTAAAGAACTTCACAGGATTTAATGTAAAGTATAGTTGTTGGACACATTACTGTAAATCCTATTATTATTCTGTTTTACAGATAAGAATGTTTAGTTTTGAAGAGGAAATTTGATGCAGACATGAGGGAGAAGGAATGAAGGGATATAGAAGAAGGGATTAGGAGAGGTGGGATATGGAGTATAAATATCACTGGCACAGACGAGTTGAGCTACAGTTCCCTGCTGTAAAGTTCTATATAATTTTATGTAATCCTGAGAGGTACTGAGTTAGCTGGTCTGAGCTGTGGAGCAGGTGGGACAAACTCTGGGTTAGGTAAGGGGCGTGGAGGTGGGGGTGAAGAGAAATCAGCCTGTGTTCCTGCTCCCATTTCGTGCTGAAAGGTGTGCACATGGTGATATCAGGGAAGGACATGAATAGGCTCAGCTATGATAACCCAGTCAATACGACATGAAAAATAACACCACCAAATTGCATTTATATAGCATCTTTCATGTCAGGAGGTCATCCCAAGGTGCTAGAAAATTGAGGGCTTGCACCCGAGCTGGGTGTTTTATACAAGAAAGGTGAGGGCCAAGGGAGTGAGGGTAGGGTGGGAAGATGACCAAAAGGCACAGTCCAAGAAGAAGGTCTTGAGATGGACCTCCAAGGAGATGAGAGACAAGGTGAGGTGAAGGGATCAGCGACAGGGTTCCAGAAAGTGGGGACAAAAAGTCTAAAAGCTTTTAAATAGAGTGACCACATTTTCCAGACATTATGAATAGTGGTTGTCCTTGTCTTCTGTTCTATCAGGTTTCCACTGATATAAAGCTGCCCGTCAGCAAGTGCTGGGTAGAAAGGTTTACCTGCAGTGACCAGATCTAGTCTTACCAGATCAATGGATTCTAAGGCAGCATCAATGAAATATCACATAAGGAAACTTGCAGTATGAAATATCTACCTAGTGGTACCGTATTCTGAGAAGCATTGCTCGTTATTGTATAAAATATTAAACAGCCTAGGATAATAATAATAATAATAATAATAATTAGTAATAATCCTTGCATTTGATATAGCGCTTTTCACGTCGGGAGGACGTCCCAAAGCGCTTCACAGAACACACTGTAAAGTGAATTGATTGTATATTTGTGGGCGAACGCGGCAGGTTTACAAGGAAGAGGCATACATAAAAAAGTTAATTGCTTTTCCAAATAAACTCCCCCCCCCCCCCCCCACCAATAAAATACATCCTATTTAGTGCAGTAGATAGTGCCAGCACATAGATCAAGGAAGTTACAAGGGAACCTAAACATCTTGTGTTTGGTGCTGCATTTGGCCCCCAAAAATACAGTCAATCCACCGTGAAGCGCTTCGCGACGTCTCAACGACACGATAAGGCGATATATCAAATGCGAGGATTATTATGATCATTATCATTCATGTTGAATGGCCATGATGTGCTTTGCTGGGGGTGGGGGGGTGGGGGGGTGGGGTAGTGTGGGGGGGGGGACAAAAAGAAAAACCTGCTAAGGATTATCCTTGGGAAGAGTGATCAACAGAAAGAAGTGGTTAGTTACCGAAGAACTGACAAAGGTGTCTGTCCACACACAACACACACACACACACAACACACACACACACACACAACACACACACACACACAACACACACACACACACACACACACGGGGCAGATGCTGTTTGCAGATGTGATGGGGAGTTGGCTCTCCCCCCGCACTGACAACGGCAGCACTGCTGGTGGTGCGGCTGAAAAATCACACACCTTTTCACCGCGTCTGTGGAGCCAGAGATGGGGACACCTCCACCGCCCCCACTGTCATACAGCACTCCGCTGATGTCCAGCACCACTCCTCTGACACCACCCGCAGCCTCGCACCACACAGCCATCGCGGACGTGCAAAAATAAAACCTCTTTCTCTCTCTGTGTGTGTGCACTTGCACTTGCACTGCACTCCGGGAGATGGTGTTGGGCAAAGATCTGCCTCTGAGACAGCTGCAGAGGGAAGTGACTACAAGGGGTCAGGACACTGTGCGCCAGACTTACCCCGGACCTACTCAATGATCGCTGCACAACTCCCCCCCACCCCCCAATGTAGTCACTTTTGCCCAATCGGCGCTGCATCTTTGCACAGCGCTGTATCTCTCTCTCTCTCTCTCTCTCTGTGGGTGTGTGGGTGTGTGGGGGTGAATCTGCACAATGTGCTGACTGTAGGAATACTAATATAGAACCACTTCAGGCATTGCATTCATCGCCCAGCGCTGAATATCACACACTGTGTTCTCTGCCACTCGGACGGATCTGTTGCTGCTGAAAGTTTTAACACGAGTTTGACTTAAAAGCGACCCCCACAGTCTGCACAGGAGTCTCATGCACACATCGCTGAACGTAGCAACCTGTATTCTCTCTCTCTCTCTCTCTCTCTCTATCTCTATCTCTTTAGAAAAAGAGTGCCCAAGGTTTACAGGCAGGATTTGCTTCTCTGACTTTGTAAGCCATCGAGTGAGAACTCACAGCAAGAACATATTTTCTGCTCCTTTCACAAAGCCCCCACTAAGAGACACACACACACACACACACACACACAGGAGGAGTTTTAGTTTTAAGAAACAAGTGTTGGAAATAAAATATGTATATCGCACATGAAAGGGTCTATCGTAAGCTACACATGTTATGAGAAAAATAGTAGGTAAGTCATGTTAGGTAGGACTTATGTCCAGATATCAGGAAACCGATTTTAATTACTTTTCCAATGAATGTGTAATCAATCACTCTTTATGGTAATAAGAAAGATAACATTCCCTACTTATAAAGTGTGTGGTAACACGATAAAGAGTTTTGGCTGCAGTCATCCAGCATTGCCTGCAGCTAATAAATAAGAGATCAATAATGCCTGTATTGCCCTTCCCACCGTATGGTCCACAATACACTCATTTTCCCCCCCTTTTTTTTGAATAATGTCATTGGACATCTAAACTTTGTAAACATACAAAATATGTAATATCGTACGTAAAATGGTACATGGTAAGCTACATATTTACCAGTGTTTTGAGTATTGCAATTTCCAAAGGTTCTACAGGATTTTCTCCTGACAGATAGTATCTCTACTGTAAAACTCATTAACCAGAATAAGCGATTGAGCAGGTTATTTAAAACAACATCACTAATAGTGTAATATCTCAGCTGTCTGCTTTGATAGTGAACATTGTCTTGGACAGTCTTATCAGCAGAGGACACCCGCTGTGAATATTGATTCCAGTGTGTTTCAAGCCATCAGCTGCCATCAGGACAGGTCAGGTCTGAATCCCACCTGGCGTCAAAGCAATTTAAAGGCAGCACTCACGCTGAATGCTAATCCCCTTACCCTGGAAGAGCCACTTAAACTGCCATAAGGCAGGACATTTCACCACAACTCTGCGGGAAATAAACTTAAACAAACGAACCCTCTGAGAGCTGCAGTGGTATCACTGTATCCCCCCCCCCCCCCCCCCCACCAAAAAAAAACTTGGGGTGAAATGATGTACTTTCTGAAAAAGAAAAAAAAAGATCTGCGTAGTCTGTATTTCCCTTAAGAAGAAATTACTTGGTTCATTTTTATAGTGCGTTACCATGTCGATGTATAATAATATGGTAATATAAGTATAGTAACCTTTTATAATAATAAATGTCAAGTGTAATGAGTATCTGTAAGCAAATATGGCAGGTGTTTTACATCCAGCAAAGTCCCACAAACAGCATTGGGTGAATGACCAACTTATCTGGATGACTGTTGACTAAAAGGTTGGAAGAAACACTCTTCTCTTTTCCAATAATATCATATGATCGTCGTTGTCCACCTGATGATAGGCAGAAAGGACCCATGTTTGGTTTAGCATCTCTTTGGAAGAACCGAGGCTTGAACACCAACAGCCTTGACATATAGAATTATATTTTGTGATTATTAACATGTGATCTCTATAAAGTTTATCAATTCAGGAAAGCTTATCTAATATCTGTTTTTAAAAACACGGGGATTTGGTGGTGGCTACGAGGAAATTATGTTAGTAAGGATTTGAGGTTATGTCACTTCTTGTCTCAAAGGGATCCATTGCAATTGCATTGCAATTTGTTTTAGGAAAAAAAACATTCACTCATAAGACCAAGAATATGTCACATTAGTTTTATCGTTCATTGTCGCCAATGGATTTAATGGCGATCCCAGTGCAATCCTACAATATTTATCAATGATATGAATTATATTGTAACTATCAACTGTAAAGTAACTGATTAATATCTGGAATGGCTTAAAGAATATATTCATCAGCTTTCTGGTCCTGGCAAAACTGTAACTATGAAGAAAGGCGCAAACTCCTCTCTTATGGATAATGCAAGTGTTATTGACTCAGGTCCCTTATCACATTAACACAGCTTGCAAAGGACTGATTACTACTCGACCTCTTCATTTTGGCCGCCTGTTAAAATAAGACTCTGGGTGAATATTTCAAGGGAAATAAAGAGATTTGAACTATTCTGGGCAGCAGATTCCCTATACGTTTTGTCGACTTACATAAACTAGGGAGGTGGCCATCCTGGCTTGTTGATGTCGCATGAGTACAGGACCCCCAGTTTCCCAAATGGCAAGCTTTCCCAGGTGTAGGGTTTGGGTGGTGCATATAGAAATATTCTGAGAATTTCATTGCATGTTTTGGATGGATGGACGGACGCAGGGAATCCTTGCAGTTTGGTTAAATTACCATTTTTGAATGCGACACGTTCTTTACATAATGGTACAATGTGGCCCGACATTGATAGCTACATTGATTCTGAATCGATTTATTGTGTTACCCACCACGAAATCATGCTTCACTCCCAGTCTGAATCCTGAACAAGTGGTACTCAGGCTTTCGTGATTGGAATTAACACTGCACAGTACTGGGTCTTTCTTAGAAAGTGTGTGCAGAACATTTAGTGAACGCATTTTAACGCTGATATGGATATCAAAAAACGGTACTCGGATAGTCACTGATCTCAGGTTAAATCCCAGCTCGACCTTATAGTGCATCAGGTGTAATTTAAGTGGAGTACGTGTGCTGCCAGAGTGAGCACTGACAACTTCAAAAGATTTTACACCAACTCTTGTACATTAATTTATTATTCCCTCCAGTAAAATTTATATATATATATATATCGGAGTCCTGGGGGAGGTGGATGTGTTTAGTGTTCTGTAGGCAGTACATATGTGCTGTAGTGACATCGACGTTCCGTATCATAATTTATAAGACTGTCTGATCTGGTGTATATCTGTCTGTTCACCCGAGACTGAGTTATAACAATTCGAAATGAAATGGTGGGACCCCATTCGGCGTTGGCATTAGGACAGCACATTTAGTTGGAACTGCAATTTTTTTTTATACATCATATGTTCGTCCGAGTATTGCATCTCAAATATCATTCGAAGGGAAGAAAGAATCAGAATAATTTTCAAAGCATGGGCTGCAATGTCGGTGAAAAAAGAAGAAGGATGTAGAGTGCTTCTGTGTGTATTGCCAGTTGGGTGCAGGATGGCTATAACACTGAAAAGTAGAAGTATCCCCCACCTCTCCACATTTCCATTCGTCTGGAAACGCCTCTGAAGGTACCATCAGATGCGAATTGCATTGATCTACATAATGTTTTTAAAAAGCCCCATGTAATTACCGTGGACAGTGGGGTATAATTACTGAGCCGGATGGGATGGATGGGTTTCTAAAGTGCAACATGAATTGCTCCACTGATTTGTGAGAAAAGTTCCAGATGGACTGGATCTAATGGGTTTTTAGAACATTTTTTTTTCAACTCAACGCTTGAAATATTAGACACTGCAGCTGGGTATTTCAAAGTAAGACAGTATCTACCTACTTCACTTCAACATCAACAGAGAAATCTCCATATGTATCTACGATTCTGGGTAAATCGAGGATGAGACGCGTATTGGAGAGACAGTTCTTATGTCAGTTATTTTGAGAAAGTTCTCATTCTCAGTCAACCTATTTGCTTATCTGTCCTCCTTGGTCAACCTTATCTGAATTTGAATTATAATGAAATGTACACATAGGGATGGGGGTGGGGAAGAGAGAGAAGAGAGAATGCACTGTGTGATTGGATAATTGTCACTAGTGATTATTATCATATCACATACTGCATGTCCTCTCCCAGCATAGTTATTACAGTCGTACGAATAATTAACCAACGTAAAATAGCAAAGAATAACTCAGTTGTGGTGGTGGTGGTGGTGGAAATAATCATTACTTGTGTCATTTGAGGGCGTGATCGATTAATTAAAATCTACAGGTTTTCAATATTGAGGAAGCTCGTGAAAAACAGTGTGTAAATCTGATTTCACAGCTGCCATCCTTTGGACGGGACAGTAAACCAAGGTCCGGCCCATCTGTTCAGGTGGTTATTAAAGAGCCCATGACAGTATTTGAAAAGACAAGCGAGTTTCTCCCAGTGTACCTGTGACCAACAACCCCCCCAACCCCCAAAAAAAATAAAATTGGTCATTTGTTCAATGTGTGCACAAATTGGCTGCCCAAGTTCCCCTGCAAAAATACAGTCACTACACTTTACAACCAACCCTGTGAAGTGTTTCGATGTGTTCCCCCATGACGTGAAAGATGTCTATATCAAATAATGCAACGATTATTTACTTGAAATTGTATAATAACCAGAGTCCAGAAAGAGCAGTTGGATCTTCTAATCTATGTATATAGCAATGCTTAACTTTCCGGAGACTGACTGTTCGATTTTTTTTGAAAAAAGGAATGAAAATATTCAGAGAGCAAACCTCCAGAAGCTAATGGGATCTCTGAGAAGAGTGATGCGACACTCAATCAAATGGAAACTAATAGGTGGATACGTCAAAGAGCGTGACAGCAAAGAAATACACCGAACCTGATACATTTTATAACCTGCACATTTCAAAGGAACATGACCAAGAGCCACGTGCATATTTTTTTTAAAAAAAAAGAAAAGTCGCATTAAATCTGGTGTGTGCGTCTTTGCCCTTTTAAAATCGAAACAACCATTACCCAGAGCATGCAAACTGTTAGTGGAATGCACAACACGAAACAAAACACTGTGCAAGGAAGTTTTATACACACACACACACACACACACACATATATATATATATATATACACTTTGTGCTAAATTCCTCATTCGCTGCAACGGTGCAATCGAAACGAGGTCTCTGGAGACAAAAGGAACCTTTTGTTTTGCGCACACGAGGTAATGGCCATATAATGCCTTTTGAAGTGCAGTTCAACTATTATTCCAACCACACGTGGCAAACCTGTCCATGCAGATCCACAGGCCTCTGTGGTGTTAATGGTTGATCCGCCGCTGGGGCTGTGCACCACGTGTGCTGTGTTATTAGCCACTGTCTCTGTACACAGAGACCACTACCAGGACCGACCAGTCAAACCGGGAGAGGAGTCCCCCTGTAGCACAAGGCTCCACGTTAACCGCTCGCACCTTCGTCCCAAACGCATCCATCACCTTTTTGGTCTTTCCCCCTTTTTTTTTTAAGACCGATCCGACTTCTCCATCGCAGTTAAATATCTCATTCGTCTTTGCTTGCAAAGCTAAAGTACTGTACCCAGGTCAGATTTCTTTTTTTTTTTGTGTGTGTGAGTGTGTGTGTGTGTGAGAGAGAGAGAGAGAGAGTGTGTGAGTGTGTGGTGTGGTGTGTGTGTCGCAGGTGTGCATTGCAAAGTGATAGAGCTTTCTTTTTTTTTTGGGAAGCTCTCCATTCATCTCGAATTGCTGGTGCATTCCTGTGCTACTGTGATACAGCAAATCCTGCTTTCCCCCATCCCACCCCCCCCCCCCCCCACTCCCCCCCCCATCCCACCCCCCGTCTGACTTGGGGACAACGAGATCTACCTGCCAGCCGGACAGTGTCACGTTCGGAGTTGAAAGAAGGTGGTGGTGATGCTGGAGAGCCTGGACAGTGGGGAAGAGATGGCGCCCACTCACAAGATATCCTTCTCCATCATAGATATACTCGACCCCAACAAGTTCACAGGCAAAGTCCTGCCGCTTGAGCTTCAGGAGCACAGATCAGAGGAATGCAGCGATGATGTGCTTCTGCACACTGGCGAGGGGCAGAGTGTGCAGGAGGCGGCAGGTGTGAGCACCAGCAATCCGAGCTGCACCGATTCTGGTGAGTTACAGGGGCAGCGTTGCTTAACAGCGATGCGATGCGTTATTTTTTTTTTTTCTTTTCTTTTTAAATACCCGTCGACCAGGAAAACCGATTGGCTTTAGTTCGCCACCAAGACTGGATGCAGAAAGTGGCACCGTTCCGTTCTTCGGAATGCAAACCCGTAAAAGATGGTTTGTGTGTCTCGTGTTCCGTTCGCGGTTTCCCCAAATGAGCACAAATGTGACCGCATTTATCATTCGCGTCGTCTAACTTTCCAGTGGTTCCGAAACCGACGCTGAGATCCGCCAACAGCTGTCACTGTGATTTATGAAATTCGCAAGAAGTTGTTTGGAAGAGAGAGACAGAGAGAGAGAGAGAGAGAGAGAGGCAATGAATGAATGCTGTAGCTTTTAGTTTGTTCGCTATACTATTCGCTGTGGGTGTTTTTTTTGTGTAACTCCAGGCGATCCCAATGATTGGAAAATGAACTTTATTCCCTCTGCGACTCAGATGCATTTTTTTTTTACACACATGAGTTTTTGCAATGGATATGGGCAAATTGTACCTATTTATTCATATGCATTGGGGGCCACTTACGCAGTGGAAGACAATGGAAAAGAGTGTTTAAATGAGAATCAAGCGTTTTCCTACCATTCACACTGTACACACATATATATATATATAAAATGTTCAGTGCTATATCTTCCCAGACATTCAAACCATTCCAATTTGATATCTGGCTCTCCTATTTTCTCTCTCTCTCTCTCTCTCTCTCTCTCGCGTCTTAGAGAGAGAGAGAGAGAGAGAGAGTGAAATTCTACCGAAATGATAAATATGACATTCTGCTCCTTTTTTTTTTAATATATATCTCGAAAAAAACAATTACGGTTGTTCAATAACAGCCCTTTGCTGTGTGTGATTGGCACTGGGAGAGAGAAGCCTTTGGGTAATTGTTTAAATCGTCCCATGGAGGATGCGGCTGCTCGAATGATCGATATCCTATTACTGACTTGTGCATATCTCCTTCCAGCAGCTTGCAGGTACAGCCCGGACACGCATGTCTCAAGCAGATCGAAGCCCCCAAATATTTTTTTCGATTACAACTTACCTTTAATAGATGGCATTATCGATCTCTGCTAAAATCTGAAACTCTAATTGCAACACCGAGGCTGGGGGTGTAGATTTGGAGACCTTTTTTTTTCTTCGCGTAACCTGTCAGAAATCCCAAACCCCCTCCATCCCCACCACCACCACCACCACCACCACCACTCACCCCCCCCCCCCCCATCTGTCCTTTGAGACATGACTGTGCTTTGCGACCTGAAGGGATTCAGTGTGCATTTGCACACACACACACCCACACACACACACCCACACACACACACACACCCCTTACATGCTTTGCAATCCCAAACAAAAACAGTCTCACGCCCACGATGCATTGTGCTGTCCCCAAACTGAATGCTTAAACCATGTCATTATTATTGGAAGAGTGATAAACGACGTCCTTATTAAAAAAAAACACCTTACTTTTGCTTTGCCATCTGGGGGGGGGGATGTTCAGAGATAGCATGAGCTCCCAAGACATTAACGTGACCCTCGTGTGACTCTCATTCAGTGACAAAAAAAAATTTGAGTTTTTTTTATTTCACGAATGATGGTGATCGCCCATCGCTCTGCTTTGTTCAATAAATATCCTGTGAAGCCTCCAGACTGGCATTACATACTTTTCTCAAACTTCCCACTCAGTTAACCAGAGATAGCTCAAGACTTCAGACTATTTTTTTAGCTGGACCTTCAAAAGAAAAAAACACCTGATTTGAAAATTCACTATCAAAAGGTCCGACCCAAACAGATATTGCAATTTTAAACCTACAGAATAAAACAAACAGTGTAATATTGTTCTGTTTTCGCACATGGCTAACCTAGAATGTCAGTACCATCAGCATTACAACTGATAATAGTCGTGGCCAACGTTAACCAGAATGGATCAAATAGTAAGTGAAAAAGGAAAAAAAGGGAGAAATGAGAAAAGACGAAAGGAACGTATTGTTGAGGTTCTAAAAGAACCCCTAAATAAATTCAATTTAGTTTGCAAAGTATCAGATTTTAAAATCATAATGCATTTTACTTGCTTGTGAGTTAGTTAATCATAGTTGTGCAGATTGAATGCAACAAAGTGTAGCTTTAATATGAGACAGATGAATGTGATGGTGTACAATCCCTTCACATCTACAAATCTTCACGCCCTGGCACCTCCCTACCTTTCTGACCTGCTTTCTCTCAACTTCACTACCCACTGCCTCTGCTCGGCTGCCTCTGGCCTCCTGCTTGTCCCTTCTCCCCTGGGCTCCACCATCACCGACTGTGCTTTCAGCCACTGCGCCCCGAAACCTGGGAACTCTCTCCCTCAATCCCTCCGCCTTGCCCTCTCCTTCCCATCGTTTTGATCATGACTCAAGTCCTCCCTCTTTGACGGTTCTTACGGTCACCTCCTCCCTCCCCCCTTCCCCCCCAACCCCCGGCTTGCTGTCAGGCTCTGCCACTGTTAAGCGGTCTGAGACAACGCCCTGGTGAAGGCGCTATATAAATGCAAATGGTTGTTCTGATAGAACTTCTGAAAGAGTGAGAGTGTCTAATTGTACTCTGCTTGACATTTCAATGGGGAGTATATGCACTGATTGTATTGCTTTAGATCATTTGTTTACAACTTTCCGAGTACTGTAATCAGCAACAAAGAGTTTGCTTCTCAGCAAACTGTGGGCACATTCGTCCCTTGCTTTTCTTTTCGTGTCTTTCTTAGGCTTTCCAGGTTCTCACTATTTGTTTTCTCGTCTATTCCCTTTTGTCACTCATCGTCTCACTCTCTCCCATGTTACATATCTTCAATTTTGCTTCTTTTTTTAAGTCCCAATTTGCACACAGCAATATCCCCAAAGCAGCCATGAAGTTAATGCCAATTTTATCAGCGGGTTTGTTGGCCAGGACACCAGGAGAAACTCCCTTCTCTTTAATGTTCACCTGAACAGGCAGGCGGTTCCTCAGTTTAACATTTTATCCTAAGGAAGATAAACACTGGACCGTTCCATCTCTGTAAGAAACAAAACATAAAATATGTCTATGCTGTTGTGATTTCTTTGATATGTCTGAGTCTTCATCAATAGTATTTAACTTAGTCTGAAACCTACTTATCTGTGTGACTTTATGCTATATCTGTTGATACCTTTATCCACTGCTAGGCTATGGGAATAACTGTCTTACGCCATGAGCGAGCTTACAGAACTGTGCAGCATTTTAGCACAGTTAAGATGTATGGAGCATGCGGTTTTAATGTAAGACAATAAAAATGTTTGCAATATGTTACTGTAATATATTTCAAAAATGTATCTGGCTGATATGATTTTAACTGTTTGTTTGTAGATGGAAGCGATCGGGAAGAAAGCACACAACATTCCACTCTTGTTACTTCAAACGAGTCTCTGGAACCACATGGAAATCTTCAACCAGTTAAAGATGATAAAAACACTGTGCTGCATGAATTGGACACCGACCAGTCTTCTGCTGAGTTAGAATCCAGATCTGATCATACTCCATCGAGACAAAAACGTCGCCGAGCTGAGCCGGGCTGTGCCAAACCAAGACGAGCGAGAACTGCCTTCACATATGAACAGCTAGTGGCCCTGGAGAACAAATTCCGCACAACCCGCTATTTATCAGTGTGCGAGCGCCTCAATCTAGCTCTGGCCCTCAGTCTTACAGAAACACAGGTTAAAATCTGGTTTCAAAATAGGCGCACCAAGTGGAAAAAACAAAATCCTGGGGCAGACAGCACAATTCAGTCTGGATCTACAAGCCTATCTCGTGTCAGTCCAAGTCCTCCTGGACCAAGTGTTCTCAGCTTCCACACTTTTCAGACTTATTCTGCAGGGAATGTTATTTGCCCCCCAGCAACTCCGATCCCTTTAATGTCATCCACTGGAGGGCTCCTGTCTCCTTTCCTGAATTCTCACTACCCAAGCCCATTTTACGCACCACATTTATGAAGACTATGCGGATTTGCTCAATCAAATTAAGAACTTGTAGACACAGTTTACGTCGATAGACTGATCGTTACTTGAACTCTCATTTGTACAAGCCAGATGTATTTCTGTTTTTTTCTTTCAAAAAGTGCTAATTTAAAGAACAATTTTATCCCCAAGAGAACTGCTTCCCACTGTATGAGAGTTTAGAATGACCTTCATGAGTCACTTGGACTGAACTGCTTTTCACTGTCAACAACAACAACACATTAGATTTGTATAAGGCCTGTCACATCAGGAGGACGTCCCAAGGTGCTGGAAGTCAGGGATTTGGACTCAAGATGTTCCAACAGTTCCCAGACAAGTTACTTGTTAGACTCTTTATTAAATGGTACTGTCAGGTCTAAGAATTTAAACAATGAACTTATTTACACTTTCGTGTCCAGCTTTCAGAAAGCCAAGATTGGGTTTAGAGGTTCAATATTGGATTAAAGTGGTAACAAGTTATTGAAGTAATCATACTCTGCTTTGGAACATCTGGCCCTGCAGATATAGTACTAATATAAACAATACAATATTAACAGCCAAGTATGAAAGTATTCATAGCCCAGATTATCTTGAGTGGCAGGAACTATCCTGGTTGTGAAAAACAGCAGTGTGATTTAAATAGGGGTGTTGTATTTAAATGTCCCCCAAGCATATGGTGAACTATTTGATAATAATGGTTTGAAACAGATAAGTAAAGCAAGAAAGTTAATTGGAAGCTAAAGTTACTGTGGGTTAAAAGTCACAGTTATATTCTTGCAAGCGCTCTATGCTTCACTATAACAACAGTTCAGAGTACTTTATTTGCAATGACTATACCGTGCTCCAGGAGGCAAATGAAGTTGTTTTTGTGAATTCCAAAGCAGACAGGTACTGCCTATAAAAATAGGCTGTTCAAACATGTTCAATAATTTTCAAAAGATGAGGAGTGTGCTTGAACACATTGCGTCATTTCAAGTATGTTTTTCACATTTGGAACATTTCAGTGCAGGCAATTCAAAACTTAAGAAAGTGGTTTATGAACTTTGAAATGATTAGCCATCAACACAGGCACCCGATTTTTGACATTTGCCCTAATACATGCTACAGTATTATGATGTTATACTTTCTGAAAGGTCTCCTGGTAAAATTAAAATAACTTCTAACAATATGCTTACTTTTGTTTGATGAACTACTTGTTGTTAAAGACAATACATTGTGCATTGATGCTATGGAGAAACATTTGTGGACATTCTGAAACGTTAATCAGAGAGGGAGGTCTCCTACACCTGACACCCATCATTTAGATTATTGCTAATAAAAAGGGAAAAAAATCAATAATTGCAAGAGTTGCTCAAATCAAAACAAATAATAACACATTTTGATGTAAATTATTAACGGCATTCAGAATACACGTGGTGCGGGTGGTGCAGATTTCTGTCAATTTCAAAGAATGTGGAATATATAGTGTTCAATAAATTTGGCAAAGTTCTTATTTCCATTGTGTTATAAATACATAGAAGCATGTACGGTACAAGGTTCATTTTGTGGGGGGAAGCAACATTTTCAATTTTTAGCATGTTATTTTTGGCTCTGCTTATAGTATCTGAGCTGTTAAATACTGTATTTGTCAATTATTGAGATTGAGACTGCAGCTGAGATAACACTTGCGATACACAATCTAAATAATTGTAAAAATGCTGAGTAATGGAGGTTGCGTTATTTCACTTATTGATGTAGTTCAAATATTACATTCTTATCAAATGATGTTACTTATTTAATTTTAGTTTCATAGTATTTAATTTACTTTAAACTTCATATAGAAAACATCGTGCAATGAACCATCTTTGGGTTTTCTGCTACAATGTATTCAGATAAAAGTTTAACATAAATCAATAAGCTTAGGAGAAAACAGATAATTCCCGGTTGTTATTTTATCTTTATTGACTCAAAGTAGGCCATGCAAATAAATTCTAGGCTGAACAGGATTAAATTCAAATGTGCTGCATTGCACATTTTCAGGTACATTATTCAAAATAATATTGGGGGCAAATTCTATCTATCACTCATTAGGAATCACTTTAATATATTTAAATATACACTTAAATATATTTTCCAATTTACCCATGTGCAAATGTGAAGTTTACTCTGAAGTTAGTAAACCCCAATGCATTCTCAATTTATTTACTAATGATGCTAAACTGATAAAAATCATACACTTCAATTTACTAAAACTTTATGTTAATTTTTTAATATTAATTTTAGTGGAAATGTTATTGGTGAGGAGCAACGTAGAAGACTAACATCTTCCAGTGAATCTTTTGGAAGAATAAAAAAGCAGATGGATGGGATCATGTTTAAACAATAGTCATAATAATAATAATCCTTGCATTTGATATTGCGCCCTATCTTGGAGACGTCTCAAAGCGCTTCACAGAATATACTTTAAAGTAAATTGACTGTAGATATTGTGGGCAAAATGAGACAGGCAATTGCGCAGCAGTGTCCCACAAACAGTTGTGGATTGAGTGATCAAATCATTATTATTTTTTACTTTTATAAAGGGATTATTACCCCCGCAAAAATGATCCAGCAATCGATTAACAACTGGGTTCCTACTTACTGCTAGGTAAACAGAGGCGTGCGGACTAAGGAAACTTGCCCAATGTTTTGCCCTGCCCAGGAATCCAACCCAGTCTTCTTGCTTGAGGGGCGGGTGCTCTAACCACTGAGCTACATGACTTCTCAACGTAGTTGTTGTTTGATGCCAATTATCCAGCAAAGCGTCTGAAGTTCTGATAATAGCAATATAGTGTTTGTCACTGTTTCTGTGTTCGCAGAGGTTTGAGATCTTAAAAAAGGAAAAATAACATGGACAGGTTCCTTCGATGCTGATATTGGTGATCAGTTGAGGGTCAACACCAACAATAGCATAATTTCTAGCAAAATATAACTTACTGACATATTACAAGCAGATTTTTAGAAACTAGGTGAATTATATTTTTTCATGGGCTTAAACAATACTGCAATAATCAGAATTTACTGAGTTTAAATTAGGAACAGTTCTTTAGACTATTAAACCTCACATAAGATTGTAGGGGTAAATGGACAGCCTGATTTGTTTAGGAACAAAACACCATATTTACAGATGGTACCTTTTTAACGTCAAAATTGCAATGTTTCGGAAAGTAAAAGTAATTTTGAAGAAATTCGGTTTTCCAGTTGTACCTGTATCAAAATAAAACTACTTGAGTGTTTTGTCATTAATCCTTTCCATATTTAAAACATCCTTTGTCGTACACATCTAATTTCAGTTATCAATTGTAACTAATATTCAGTTACGGTATCATTTATAATTTCTTATGGTTCATTTGCTCTCTACAAACAATGCAGTTTATATTAGATAAATATCCAAATCCACTGCATGCTTTTCACCATATTTTGTGTTGATGTAAATGATTTTGTAAATATGTCAAGCAATATATAATACAAAACTATATTTGTACATACTGTGTGAGGTGAAGATGATCAGAAACTGTCAGTGAAGGACAGAAACTGTACAGCAACGATTTTGTAACGTAAGGATAAAAGTAAATTTAAGTAGAAGACAATTGTTACGTGTGTGAAATGTTTGCCGAGACGGTTCTCAATAACGATAATCCAATAAATGTCACTTCATGATTCTGTTATTCAGTGTCAATATTCCTAACAAGATGCAGGTAGTGCCTGATTTCGATTCGTTGAGTATTAAAAGCAGACACAAGGGACGAGATTTGTAAAGCACGGACAAAGAAATTTTGAGAGTAAAAGAGCGGGAGCAAGCAAATCTCACACCCATAATAATGACAATAATAATAATCCTTGCATTTGATACAGTGCCTTATCATGTCTTCCCCAGACGTCTCAAAGCGCTTCACAGAATATAACACCGTGAAGAATGAATTGACTGTATATTTTGTGGGCGCACAGCAGTGTACCGCAGACAGTCGTGGGTTGAGTGACCGATTTCTTCTCATTTCTTTATTGTTATTTCGAAGGGATGATTACGCCCAGAACAACAAACGAACGACAAAATTACATTTATAGAGCGCCTATTCACGTCGGGAGGACGTCCGTCCCAAGACGCTGGACAGTCAGGGGGTGGGGTCAGGACTGTCAGCGGTCAGAAAAGCGATCCCACCAATTGACTAACAACTTACTGACGTACTGCTGGGTAAACACGAGGCGTGTTGGAGTAAAGCAAGGAAACTTGCCCAAGGTTTTGTTTCGCCCTGACCGGTGGGGTGGGGTGGGGTGGGGTGGGGAGGGGCGGAATCCGTCCCGGGTCCTCACGCTCGGTCAGCCCCAACCACCGAGAGCCACAGGACTCCGCAGGGTTTGGGTGAGAGACACTGGCCGGGGGCCGGTATTTGATTGCCCTGAGAACACGTCGCTGGGCGGCCTCTGCTTCGAACCACTTGGCGGCCCCTTGGCTTCTGCTCAACTCAGATGGAAGCCAAATCAGGACTCACCAATTCACTCAAACCCTCCCCCCCACCTGGCCCCCAGCCCCGCCCCCACAGCCCCCAGCCCCGCCCCCACAGCCCCCAGCCCCGCCCCCACAGACTCCAGCCCCGCCCCCACAGCCCCCAGCCCCGCCCCCCAGACCCCAGCTCCGCCCCCAGCCCCCCAGCCCCGCCCCCCAGACCCCACCTCCATCACCTGCTCCCACAGCCCCGCCCCCACCTCCATCACCTGCTCCCACAGCCCCGCCCCACCTCCATCACCTGCTCCCACAGCCCCGCCCCCACCTCCATCACCTGCTCCCCCAGCCCCGCCCCCCGTGCCCCCAGCCCCGCCCGCCCAGCGCGAGACTCAGACTCGCCCCCCTCCACCAGCCAACCGCCAACGTCGCCACGTGCGAGCAGCGCACGAGCCGCTATTTAAACGGCTGCGACAGGCGGGGCTCGCGCACTGCTGGTCCGGAAAGGTTCTCGAGCGTCAGGTGAGGACCGCCGACCTCTCTCCTCCCCACACACACACACCTCCATCCCCTCCACAGCCCTCCCCCCCCCCCCCGGCGGGGAAAGAGAGTGAAGAAAAGGAGAGGGGGAAGGAGGGAAATTCTCGGGGAAAGCCAGGAAAGGAGGCTCAAGACCTGAGGGAAAAAGAGTGAGGAGGGGGGGGAGTGAGGAGGGGGGGAGAGAGAGGTCTTCCTCTTCGGCCGCGACTTTGGTCACTCCCCCTCTCCGCCCCTCTGGACTCCCAGCCCGCGGCTCGGGTGCAAACCCTTCGTTGTCCAAAGCGCCTCGGGAACGTCCTGCTGACACGAGACGTCGCCATGTAAAGCGCCACGTTACGGTGGTTGAGGTCCCCGGGGAGAGGCTGAGGGGACTGGGGAAGGGGAAGATGGCGGGGGGGAGAGCGCGCGCGCGCGAGAGAGAGAGAGAGAGTTAGTGTTGGGTGTGAAGTTGGGACTAGTCTGAGGGATGGCGGCGGAGGAGGAGGAGGGAGGGAGGGAGATGCGTATCCATGTTAATGGGCGGTTGAGAGGGAAGTGACTGGGTCCCTCTCTCTTCCCCACGGGCCGTGGTTACAAGCCTCGGTGTCGGCTTGAAGCGGCCCAGACTTCCTCCGCCGCGCCTCCGCCAAAGCCGAGGACTCATCCACTGCCAGTCGGTATCCCGGGGGCTTTCGCTGCCATTCCACCCCCACTATTACTCTCTCCTCCTCGCACCCACCCACCCCCGGGGCCGCTCTGTCTCAGCGGTGCCCGGTCTCTTGCCGCATAACCACCCGCAAGGGTGTGCGTGTGTGTGTGTGGGGTGGGGGGGGAACCAGCCAATTGAGTTGCTCAGCCAAGTGCCTAAGAATTGATGGGGAATTTATGGCGGTTGTAAGATTTTTAATCTGTTAGCAATTATCCGCAAACTGTGACGAGCTGTTTATATGTAGCGAGCATCGGAGCGATGTGTGGCCACTGATTGTTTGCGTGTGCGTGTGGAAAGCAAGAGGCTTGTTGCGGATACTTGACGTGCAGGTTAGCGGAGATTCAGATTACAGACTCTTCAGGTGGTATTAATCATACACGAAACGCATCATTTGCTACCACCAGCCTCCTATCTACTCAGTGGCCAACGCCTCACTTGCCCTTCTCACTCCCTCCCTTGCTCTCGGCCACTGAATGCTGTCTGGCGGCTCCAAAACGAAAGTTTCAGCAGCTGCACCATTCAATTGAGCCTCTCTGGTCAATCGTCAGGCAACGTTGAGGTGCAGGTGAAAGCAAAACAGGCACCGATTGCACCTAATGTTGGAGCCTTAATGGTTCTGGCATTGGTATCGCGTCTTATCGCATCTTCGAGACGTCTCATAGCACTTCACGGGACGTGCTGCAAAGTGAATTGACGGTTTTGTGGGCGAAACGTGGCAGCCAATTGCACGCAACAGTGTCCCACATACAGTTGTGCATTGAAGTGACCAAATTATTATTTTTGAAGGAATTATTACCCCCGGGAAAGGGATCTGTCAATCGACTAACAAATGGGTTCCTACTTACTGCTAAGTAACTAGAGGCGTGTATAGTAAGGAAACTTGCCCAACATTTCACCCTGCTGGGAATCGATCCCAGGTCTCTTGTTTGCGAGATGAATGCTCTAACCACTGAGCTACAGGAAATTGTGTGCATTGTGTACTTTTTTTTGCCTCCAGCAATAATTTAATAATAATTTAAATGCTATTTGCTTGTGAGGCAATGCTTTTGATTTGGACTTGATGTAGACTTGGTGGTTAATCCTTGTACAAGCATTCCCTTTAAAATAGCTTCGCTGCAAATTATCTTAAATACCAAGATTGTGACTGTTTTCTAATATGTAATCTGTTTATATTGTGTATTCATCTTCTTAACCATAAACTGCTTGCTTGTTGGTTGTTTAATAGTCTGCATCAATAATTTCTGCTGCACCAGCATTTTCTGAACAATTCAGATTCTTTGTTCTGAATCTCTTGAATTATTTAGAACACAATGGTTTTTCCAGGATTTAGTTAATGTTTCATTTTAAATTGATACCTGAATGAGAGTATTGTATTCTTAACAATGTATAACAAAAAAAACTAACAAAGATGCAGAGTATTGATCTCTGGATGAAACGTACAGGTGTTGTATTCTGGTGAAAATATTATTTGAAAAATTAATGTATGGGCCCTGTGAAAAGCTTTGAGATGTTCTTTTGGCTCTTATCAAATAGAAGGATTATTATTTAAGTATTGTCTAATCAGGACTTATCTTCAGTGTGATTTGAAACATAGTTACAATTTGCACTAATATTTGTTTTACCTTTGAAAATGTGTTTACAGTTCAAACTCTTTCATAATGCCCAAATAATCTACTAAAAAAGAGGGTTTAAGGCTTAGCAGCACAAGCACAATCATTTAAGTAGAATTGTTTCAGGGTTCACATGATTCTTAAAAATAATCTGCAATGCTGCCATATTTTTGTTGGGTGTTGTAAGGGGTTTGGACAGTTCTGACCAATCAGCAACTGGCAGTCACATGCTTGACTATTTGGCTTCCTGCACGGTCTACACAAACGCATCATATTTCAGACGCAATGGGTGGTTCTCCTTCAATGTAGCTGCATGGCTCTTCAATGACAGGCAGGCAAAAATCTGTAATGACTGATTATTCTAGCCAAAGACAATATTTAAATAGGATTTTTTTCAAGCCTAGTGCTGGTATATAAACTAGTTACTGCAGTCACCACAGTTATATGTGAGTAGCTTATTTTGAAGAATGAAATTATAGAAGGTCAATTATTAAAGGAAGACTGTTGTAGCTAAAGCCTTGAAATAAATGGAAGGAAAAAAGGTCATTGACATTCTGAATAAATTGCCTAGGATTTTAACAAAAAGAATATATATGTAACACTTTTGCTCATAGAATGATTGAATGTAAGTTTAATTACAAAGTTGAGGGTCTTTCCAATTGTTGCTGTCCACTTTTCAACAAGGACTGCAATTAATGTGACAAAACTATTTTTAAATAAAGTAGAATAAACTTTATTCATAGCAGTAGTAAAGAGACTGAAAAGTTTTGAGTGAGATTTTAAAATGTACCCAGGAACTGGTTACTTCAAATGAAGCTTTGTTTACAATTTGGATATAAAGAATAGAGTGTACTATTTATGAAAAGAAGCAACTGTTCCTTTCAAACCGACAAATGGCTGAAGTAGTATATTAGACTAAAAAGACACTTGTACTGAATCATTCCCAAATTTTCCTTCCCTAGAAAGGTAAAAATATTTAATGACATGCTGAAATACTCTTTCATAATGCAATGCATTATAGATTTAGGAGGCTGCTCTTGGGGGTGAAGGTGAAAAGAAATGAGGAAGAAAAAACAAAATAATGCCTTGCCTTCTTATGAGTTAACTTGCTGTATGTGTTGTAGCAATCTGCCAACTGTTCAGCTTTGTATATCCATGAATCAGACTAACCTATCTCTAGGACAGTAGTGAAATGTTGATCGTCTATTGCATCATTGTGGGCAATAATGACATTTATTAACCCACATGGAATCCAATACAATTTTTGTAAAGGATTTTTTTGAATTTGATCCTTTGAAATGGAGCTTACCTTGCTGAATTTTTTTTGCAAGGTTAAAATAGCAATAATAATTGAAAAATGCAAATATTCTATGTACTTCATTGTCTGCATAGGAAACCACTTGAATCTTTTGGTATAAGTTAATCACCTAAAGCTTAAGCTTATCAAGTCTTGCAGGCTGAATTCATTTTTTTAATCTACACAGTAAACTCTGAAACGTGCTGAAAAAATGCTGTGCAGACTGTCACGTTACATCAACTCCAGTGCTTCAGTAGTGAACCGAAGCCTGAAGACAGCAGTTTATTCTGCCACCACAGAAGCACCATTAAAAACTGAGAAGGCACTGACTTCAGATGAAATTTTTGTACGTGAAGAAAAGTATGGTGCACACAACTACCACCCACTGCCTGTAGCTTTGGAGAGAGGAGAAGGTAGGAGCCAAGGCTTACACTAAGCATGGAATATATAAACATAAATTGTCAAATTGCTAGTATTTGTGGGCTGAACATAATTAATATATTGTGATCTTATTTTGTTTTTAATACTGTTTTATTGGGATTTTATCTTGAGTATTTCATATAGGTTTATTAAATAGTTTTGCAAATTGCACTGTATTGGTAAAAAAAAGTGTTTTGCTATTGTGATTCTGTTTGTATTTGCATTGTATTTTTTGTAAATGTGAAATGTACTGGTAATGTGAACAAAATAAAGTTGGGTTGTTTTTCAGGAGTTTATGTATGGGATGTGGAAGGCAGACGATACTTTGACTTCCTGAGTGCTTACAGTGCTGTGAATCAGGGCCATTCTCACCCAAAGATCATTGCAGCACTTAAAGCTCAAGTTGAAAAACTTACCCTCACCTCACGAGCTTTCTACAATGATGTACTGGGAGAGTATGAGGAGTACATTACCAAACTGTTTGGCTATGACAAAGTGCTACCAATGAATACAGGTTAGTATCAGCAGTGGTTTTGTCAATTTGTTTAAATTGTTAAAATTAGGCACCAAAGATTGAGCAAAATAGCTCCATTTCAAAACAGAAGGGACAATTTCCAAAAGGTCTTTCACAAAAATAAGTCAGTGAATTATTGCCCATGATTGCAATGGGCAATCATTTCACTGCTGTCCTGACAACTATGTTGTCTGAGATTTAATTTCAATGCCTGGGGTTTTAGAGATTTCAGACTTTAATCCCCTATGCCTAATAGAAATAGACTGCTGTAGGACTGGCTAAGAAACTAGTGATGCCAACAAATTCTGTTAAATGACAGCATATCTATTCAGTTAATATCCTTATTTGTAAAACTGATCTATAAATATAATAAATATTCCTTACAATGATTTTAGAAACATTTGGTAGGTCTCCCACTTAATTTTCTGCATAGCTCTTGTAATCTATAGTATTTGATTGTGAAATTTTGATCATCAGCATTTTATAAACTAGTCCTTTTAACCACATTAAATCAAAGTTCCACCTGCCTGTTCAGGTAGATGTCAAAGATTGCATCACACTATTCAAAAAGAGAAGAGAGTTTCTCCAGGTGTCCAGTCCAGCAATCCCCCCCCCCAAATAAAATTAGTCACTCATTTCATTACGATTTGTCGGACATTGCAGTGGTAATTGTGCTTCCGCATTTGCCTTCGAATACATTTGCTCCATTTCACAGTAATTCCCGTGAAGTGTTCTGACCTAATAAGGTGCTATACCCAATATGAGGATTAGTATTATTATCACTTGTTTACTTTTATCTGGAAGTCAATAGTTGTTGGTATTTACTGTGTTTGCTGCTAGGTTCCACTCATGTTGCTCTGTCTGCCTTTTAAATCATTTAATTTGATAACATTTTGCTTCAGGTGTGGAAGGAGGAGAAACTGCTTGTAAATTGGCTCGCAAGTGGGCATACGATGTTAAGGGAATTCCAAAATATAAAGCAAAAATAATTTTTGCAGGTAAGTTTTTNGGAAATTTTTTAAAATAAATTTTCTTTAATTAAAACTACATCAGTTAATCCCACCTGAATGTTCATTTGAGTTTAGTTGTCCTAGTAAATTGATGGATTAAGTTGCGTATCATGAGAATAGTACGAGCATTATTAAGGGTGGCTGGCCAGCTTTGAACACATGGCCACCATGCCTCACTGCAAGGCAAACTCAGAAGCACTGACTGGCCTGGCTGTATGTAAGCCCCCTTGCTTATGATGCAGATTGTTACTGCATCTGAGTGTTTGTATTATAGTGGGGTTCCTACCTTTATCATGTATTGTCATGGCTGTGCCGTGAACCATCTTTTAAAAATGTAGATAATATGACCATGTATTCAATATTGATTTCTCTCTCCTTTTTTCCAGCTGGTAACTTTTGGGGTAGGACAATGGCTGCTGTTTCGAGTTCTTCAGATCCCAGCTGTTATGATGGATTTGGACCATTCATGCCTGGATTTGAGCTTGTGCCCTATAATGATTTATCAGCATTAGAGGTATCTAGAGGCTCATAGTGTATCTGCCTTCCATCCCCCCGTTCTCTGGAATTCCTGGAGTCCCTTCAGCTACACCCTTCCCTTACCTCCAAGTTCGGCCTCAAGAATTTCCTCTTTGAATGTGCTTTTAGCCATTTATTGCCCTCGCCCCCACTCCCAGCTCAGGAGCAAACCCCGAACAGTCCAGTGCACTCTACAAATATAAATTTGTTTTTGCAAAAATTGTTGTGTTCTATGCTAATTAACATTTTGATTTTGTTCTATTGTTTGCTGAAGTTGCGCTAGAAGATAATGGATTTTTGTTTTCCAGCGGGCATTTCAGGACCCCAATGTTGCAGCATTTATGGTAGAACCAATCCAGGGAGAAGCTGGAGTAATCGTTCCTGATGCTGGCTACCTTCAAGGAGTGCGAGAAATGTGCACAAAATACAATGTAAGCTGTAAACCATGTAGCTGTAATAAAGTTTAACAATTAAGAGTACTTCATTTAATAATAATAGTCATCCTTGCATTCAATATAACGCCTCATGTGTTCGAAACATCTCAAAGCGCTTCACACAAGATACTGTGAAATGAGTTGACTATTTTGTATATTTACCAGAAATTAAGCATCTTAATTCTCATTGTATGAGCACAGGTCCTGTTTATTGGAGATGAAGTACAGACTGGACTTTCTAGGACTGGCCGCCGATTGGCATGTGACCACGAAAATGTCAGACCAGATATTGTGGTTCTTGGAAAAGCCCTTTCTGGAGGGACATATCCAGTAAGTGATGTTACATTACATGGAATGAATGCATCCAGGATATCTTGGGTTTCTTAAGTCCTCTTGTAGTGAAAGGAGCAAAGCTTGAATATGATATCTCCAAACTCCAATTTACATAGCATGTTAGGCAATGAGTCATTTTTGTCTACAGAAGTGTTGTATTAACAATTCCAGCATTTAAATAGAAACTAATTGCCATTTAAATGCTGGCACCTTGTATTAGGTATACTTGTTATGAGTGTAGGTTCTTGTCTTAAGAAAAATTTGGAACTTCAGAACAAGGGTGGAACAAGCAAAAACCTTTTTAACTAAGTACATTGACACTGTTTCCAGGTATCAGCAGTATTGTGCGATGATGAAATCATGCTAACCATTAAACCCGGTCAGCACGGCTCTACTTATGGTGGGAATCCAGTGGCATGCCGTGTTGCTGTTGCTGCTCTTGAGGTATGTCTGAGAGGTTCAACCTGGGGGGAATAGCTTACAGTGGTAATAGCTGTAATAGTTTTTTTAGTGATTGTGTTAACATTTACTAATGCGAACTTAAATTTTATGATGCCCCCAATTTTCCTTTTGTGCACATGTGTTTTGCATGCTTTTAGAAAGATGTGCTTATTCAATGCCTGATTATCCTTAGAGTCTTTCTGATCGTGATTGTACTGTTAATTACACACTCTACTCTAAACTTTATAATTCTTGAATTGTTCAGTCATCTACAGTGCTTCTATTATGTGTTATTGTATATAGGTTCTTGAGGAGGAAAATTTGTCAGAGAATGCAGAGAAAATGGGCAAGCTCCTTCGAGATGAACTGATGAAACTTCCTTCAGATATTGTGACTACTACGAGAGGAAAAGGATTATTGAATGCCATTGTCATTAGAGAAACAAAAAGTATGAAAATATTGTGGCAATTTACTGTGAAAATTGTTTCAGCTATACTACCTTAAACACACTCAATTCAATTGCTATGACAGGAATGCAAAAATGTTACTGATTTGTAAGGATCAAATCACCTGTACTAATATATTTTGAGATTAAGCCTCCGAAAGACATTAACTCATTCTGATCTTTATTCAATTAATGCATTTAAATAGAATGTTTGATACTTTATCTTGAATTTCTAATTCCCTTTGCTGTAAGCTTATGAATTGTGAACATCACAATGGTAACCTAGTTTGGGGCAGATGTGCAAAATTTGACTTGAGGTCCACGAGTCCTTAGAGTTGGTTTAAGAATTGCAGTTTAGAATTAACCAATTTGTAGAAAACATGAAACATAACTGACGTTGAGCAAGCAGAGAAAACTGATGATTTCAGCAATTAACTTTTATTGAACATTTTCTTTCATATTTTCTTTCAGCTTTTGATGCCTGGAAAGTTTGCCTTCGCCTACGTGATTATGGTCTCTTAGCCAAGCCGACCCACGGAGACATTATTAGATTTTCACCACCTCTCGTTATTAAGGAGGATGAAATAAGAGAATGTGTTGATATCATTCAGAAAACTATCTTGTCCTTTTGAAGGAAATTAAAGCCACGTTGTAATATCTTTTGAAGGTTAAACTGGATTTAGATTTGTAGCAGGCATCCTCCAGCTAACATTTATTGTTGGCAATATACAAAATATAACTAGGCTTCTGTTTGAGAGATTGCTAAGCATCTCAATTCTTCATATTTACATCTTGAGCAGTTATAGTGGTCAGATAATACTTGGAATATTTGTAAACCTGTTAAATTTGAAAGCTGTTCACTTTACTTGGGTGGTAGCTGGTCTGAAGTGAAATTGCAGTCCCATTCATCTTAAATGGGCTCAAGGTCTCTATCGTTGGTGCTTTTTTAAAATCTAGACCGTCAGAAAAACATTGCTGTTGATCTGTAAGATTTGGGTGGGAAAGCCTGTGTGTACTCTGGATTATTAAGTTCTCATAGAACGAAAACCTGAATTGAGAAAGTGGCATATTTTCATTAAGCTGATCAAAGCCATATTTTAGAAACTTGAATGTTGTGCTTTGGGTGGACAATACATTATTGAGTGGTTACTGAGCTGGTTGTATTTAAGATAGGTAGGGAGAATGCTTGTTCAATCCTGAATGTTTAAAGTGGTTTTGAAACCCTGTCTGCCAGTAACTTGCAAATGCTCATAGGAAGTAGAGGATACATTTGTTTTCTTAAGTCTAGTTGAAAATATCTGTAGATATCTGTAAAAAGTTTAATATTGTAGAAATTAATGCATTCTTGAAGAATGTGGGGAAACAAAACCTTAATGTAGTATACATCATGAGTAATTCTTTAAAACTGATTGCAGAGTTCAACTGGTGTGTAATACAAGCATCTAAATAATTTTCCCAATTAAAACATCGAAGTTGAGAGAAGCATACAAGTTAATAACTTCAATAATTAATGGTGCCTGTTGAGTAATTGGAAAAAAAACTCTAGATGCAAAACCATGGAGTCCTATATGTCTCCTTTGATATCTTTCAGTTTTGATGTTTACATTAGTCACCCTTATTTTGCTTCAGGCTACCATGTGAGTAATTTTGGCCCGTTTGTGTACAGCACTAACTGATAAATGGTCTGAAATCTCTGCATTTTCATAAATTTAAAACATTTATTTAATGACCTGTTATTATTTGTAATGTGTAAATTGATCCGTAACAAATGTTAATTTGATTTCAATGTTGCTTGAAATGCAGTTCTCTACATCCTGTACTTTGAAAGTGGAGTGGCTGATGGATTATAATACAAGAAATGGTTCCCAGTCGGTGAATTTTCTTTGAATGTCTAGAGTTTTGGCTTTGTTCAATAAATTAGTGCTGTTATGCAAATCATTTTCTGATGGAACCAGAATATACTATTGAATCCTTTTGTAATCTTAACACTCCTTAAGCAACACATTTTGTGATGAAGGCTTGCAGCAAATATACATGCATCACGATCATAACTTGGGATACTGTGTATGTGAAAAGCGCTATATCAAATGCAAGGATTATTATTGTATTTACAGGGTGCAGTGAGAATAGTTCATAGTTTTGTAGAATCTTTCATCTTGCACTGTTGAAAATTAAACTCCTTTTGACCAACTGGATGTTTGACCTGCTGAAATCCATCAAGATATCCAAACCAGAGTTTCATGCAGCTCAGGTGCGAGTACTACTGACTGAGTCACACTGATCTTCAATGTTTATTAGTGCACTTCATGAAGCCCGTTTGGAACATATGGGTTATACTTGTAATAGTACAGATTCCAGGTCATATGCCCTTAAGTGGTTGTTTGCAGGCCTGTGCAATTTCATCTAAAATCAATTTCCTCCAATTTTCCTAAAACTCACATGTCTACATAAGGTATAACCTTTAACACTGAGAAAGTGAGGACTTGCATCCTAGAAACTTGGGCAATGATATAGATGGGGTAATGATCTGTTTCATGCATTCATAAGAAACTAGTGAACCAATGAGTATTGCAGCAACAGATATCCTTTGGGAAAGGTTTCTGAGTGGGGAAACTGCTGGAGGAAGGGATTGTCAGTAAAAAGTTTAGTTTTTTGCATTTTCAGTGCAAGATTACAAAAAATATGGTTCAGAAAGATTATTAGTCTACATGCCAATATTTTTCTGATTTAGGAAAATGCATCCCACACCAGCAACCAGCTTTCTAGAGAAGGTTAATATATGATTCACTGGAAATTCTTGGTTATGGCCCAACTATGTCGGAGTCTTGTAGCTCAGCGGTTAGAGCAGTCGCCTCGCACGCGAGAGCCCTGGGTTCGATTACCGGTAGGATGAAATGTTGGGCAAGTTTCCTTATTCCACACGCCTCTGTTTACCGAGCAATAAGTAGGGACCCAGTTGTTAGTCGATCGGTGGATCGCTTTTCCAAAGGTAATAATTACTTCAAAAAAAAATAATAAATTGCTCACTCAATCCATGAATGTTTGTAGGACACTCTGTGTAATTGGATGCTCCATTTCGCCCACAAAATAGTCGATTCACTTCACAATATATATTGTAGACTGGAGAGTGGCCAATGTGACTCCCCTGTACAAAAAGGACAGAAGGCAATCCTGGGAACTACCGGCCAGTCATCTTAACATCAGTAGTGGGGAAACTCCTGGAGACTATAATCCGGGACAGAATAAATCTTAGAAGAATATGAATTAATTAGGGTCAGCCAGCACGGATTTGTTAAAGGCAAATCTTGTCTAACAAATCTAATAGAATCTTTCAATGAGGTCACGGAGAGGGTGGATAAAGGTAGTGCAGTTGATGTAGTTTATATGGACTTTCAAAAGGCATTTGAGAAATTGCCGCATGAAAGACTTGTAAGAAAGATAGAAGCCCGTGGTATAAAAGGGACAGTGGCAGCATGGATCCAGAACTGGCTGAGAGACAGAAAGCAGAGAGTTGTGGTGAGCAGCTGCTTTTCTGACTGGAGGGAAGTGTACAGTGGCGTCTCTCAGGGATCGGTATTAGGAACACTGCTCTTCTTGAAAAACATAAATGATCTGGAATTGGGTATGGCAAGTACCATTTCCAAGTTTGTGGACGACACAGTTAGGTAGGGTAGTAAACAGTGAGAAGGTTACCAGCCAACTGCAGGAAGACATAGACAGAATGGTAAAATGGGCGACACATGGCAGATGAATTTCATTGTAGAGAAATGCGAAGTAATGCATTTTGGTAGAAAGAATGAGGGGAGGCAATACAGGCTGGTAATACAGTCTTAAGGGGGGTAAAAGAACAGAGAGACCTGGGGGTGCAGGTAAATGAATCCTTGAAGGTGGCAGGACAGGTAGATAAAGCTGTAAAAAGAGCAAATGGGATACGAGGCTTTATAAATAGGGGCATAGAGTACAAGAGTCAGGAGGTTATGATTAACCTATATAAAACACTGGTTAGGCCTCAGTTAGAATACTGTGCCCAGTTCTGGGCACCACACTATAGGAAGGATGTTAAGACATTGGAAAGGGTGCAGAGGAGATTTACGAGGATGGTACCAGGAATGAGGGACCTTGATTTTGAGGAAAGGCTAGAGAGGCCGGGATTATTCTCATTGGAGCAGAGAAGGTTACGAGGAGACCTAAGGAGGTCTTCAAAATCATGAAGGGATTTGATAGGTTAGAAAGGGAAAAACTGTTTCCACTGGTGGGTGTGTCGGTGACTCAAGGTCACGGATTCAAAATAGTCTCTAAAAGAAGCAGAGGGGAGGTGAGAAGAAATTTTTTCACGCAGCGAGTTGTTGGAATCTGGAGCGCATTGCCCGAAAGGGCGGTCGAGACCGATTCGATAACTACTTTTAAAAATGCGGTGGACCGGTATTTGAGGAGGACGGGTTTGCAGGGTTATGGGGAAAGGGCTGGGGAGTGGGAGTGACATTACATTGCTCTATTCAAAGAGCCGGCACAGACTCGATGGGCCGAATGGCCTCTTTTTGTGCTGTACAATTCTGCGATTCTATGATATTCTGTGAAGCGCTTTGAGACATCTCGAAGGCATGATAATATCAAATGCAAGGATTATTTTGATAATGTGATCACTTGATTATACAAATTTCAGGGCAGCTTTAGAGTGACAGGTTTTCAGATTGTTGAAAGGTGGAAAACAAACGGCAATCTTTATTTTGAAAGTTACAACAATAATCTTCAAGCAATGCATATTGTAGCAAAAAAAATCATTGCAATTGGTCAAAAGGGATGTGACAAAGAGTTTAAAGATTAGCATCATTGCGAAAGAGCGTGTTTTCTGAGCTGGATTGCCTGGTTTCAGAATGAAATTCTTACAAAGTGTAAATTCTCCCAGCCTTTCCAACATTATACTTTCTCGGGGAAAATAATGTTAACAAAGATAGGATTGCATGTGAGTTCTAACTCATCAATTGTATCTAGAATTGGTTTGAACACTAGAGGTCACTGTTGCTTTATTCTGGTAATCTGGTATTTTCAATGTCTGAAATTATATACCTGTTTTGATGTAAGGATTTACCTTATGTGTTGAAAGAAATTTAAAAATACCATTACCAATAAAGAATAAGAACATAAGAACATTATGAGTCGGCCCCTCGAGTCTGCCCCGCCATTTAATAAGATGGTTGATCTTCTAACCTAATTCCATTTACCCGCCCTATCTCCATATCCCTTTAGTTTTTAAAAATCTATTGATCTCAGTCTTGAACATGTTCAATGACTGAGCATCCACAGCCATCCGGGATAGAGAATTCCATAAATTCACTACCCTCTTGAGTGAAGAAATGTTTTCTCAACTCAGTTCTAAAAGGCTGACCTTTATTCCTGAGTATGACCCCTAGTTTTGGATTCTCCAACCAAGGTAAACAGTCTCACAATATCTACCCTATCAAGACCCTTAAGAATCTTATAGGTTTCTATAAGATTACCTCTAATTCTTCTATATTCTAGAGAATATAGGCCAAGTCTACTCAACCTCTCCTCGTAGGTCAACCCCCTCATCCCAGGAACCAACCGAGTAAACCTACGTTGCACTCCCTCTAAGGTGAGTGTATCCTTTCTTAGATAAGGAGACCAAAACTGCACACAATATTCTAGGTGCGGTCTAACCAAGGCCCTATGCAATTGCAGAAAGACTTCCCTACTCTTGTACTCTAACCCCTTTGCAATAAATGCTAACATGCTATTAGCCTTTCTAATTGCTTGCTGTACCTGCATACTAACTTTCTGTGATTGGTGTACAAGGACACCTAAATCCCTCTGAACACTATCTAGTCTCTTCCCCCTCTAGAGAATAATTTGCTTTGCTATTTTTTCTACCTAGGTGAATAACTTCACACTTCCTCACATTATACTCCATCTGCCACCTTCTTGCCAACTCACTTAACTTGTTTATATCCCTCTGCATCCTCCTTGTGTCCTCCTAACAGCTTACTTTCCTACCTAGCTTTGTATCATCCGCGCAGTTAGATACATTAAGCTCTATTTCCTCATCTAAGTCATCGATGTAGACTGTAAACAGTTGAGGCCCAAGAACTAATCCTTGTGGCACTCCACTAGTCACAACCCGCCATCTGAGAAGGACCCATTTATCCCTACTCTCTGTTTTCTGCCTGTTAACCACTCTTCGATCCATGCTAATATATTACCCTTAATTCCATGAACTCTAATCTTATGTGGCAGGCACCTTGTCGATTGCTTTCTGAAAATCCCCAAACACTAAATCCACTGGTTCCCCCCTATCTGACCTGCTAGTTACATCTTCATTATTTGGCATTATTTGGATTCCCATTATTGGAAAAACTGCCTGCAAAATGCTCACAAAACAAATCAAGGGCATCTACTGTATTAGGTGCAATTTATTAAAAAGGTCTATAAGGCATATAATGAATAAAACGATTGGAGTAAGAATGTTGAGAACTGACACTTAACATTAATTTGTTTTTACGTGATTTTGAGTTAAGGTAGTTTTGAATCACATGTATTCTTTTAGTTTCACACCAAATATCTCAAGTATGAATTTATAGGCCAGACAATTTATTGTATCTACACATTGTCCATTATATATTATATTAATCGTGCTAGTTAGACTACAAGCTAGGATGGCATTATCCCTGTATGTATATATTCTACTGTGAGAATGCACACTCAGCATTGTATCTCATTCATGCAATTACACTAGGGGGTGCCAAAGAACAATAATTGAATTGTAGGAAGAAAGGTATCCACCTTAAAGAAATGCTCTCGACATCATTCAGAATGTTTAGTCATACCTAAGTTAGGTTAACTACAGCTTCCAACAAACTTAGACCCTTTTTGAAGTTTGCTCACTCAGGAATATCATATGGACTCGTTTATTTTATACATCATTGAAAAGTTAGA